TCTTTTTGTAAAAAACTATTTTATTTTTTTATTTGACAGAGAGAGCACAAGCAGGGGGACTGCGGGCAGAGGGAGAGGGACAGGCTCCTCAATGAGCAGGGAACCCAATGTGGGGCTCGATCACAGGACCCTGGGATCATGACCTGAGCCAAAAGCAGATACTTAACCGACTGAGCCACCCAGGTGCCCCAAAGTTAGTTATCTATTTATGGGAACTTTTCCATGCAGAATATTTTCACTTTTATGTTATCACACTTAGCATTTCCTTATGAATTTGGAGTTTTGTGTCCTACTTAATTAAGGAAGGTCATCTCATCCTGAAATGATACATTCAAGAATCTCCAACATTTTCTTTCCTCTTGGTGTATCTGGAAGTTACTAAGATGTGAAATGTGAGATAGGAATGCTTTTCCTTTTCTTCCCTGTTTGTTGGTTGTCTAGTTGTCCTCATGCCATCTACTGAAGAAATTACATTTTCTACAGACCTATCATATATTCAATTCTTCTACACACGTAGGTCTATGTCTGGAGTCTGTTTTATGTCACTGAGAGGAGCAGATACCAACTCCTTACCACTTTAATTCTTGTTGCTTGAAAGATGTTTTGCAAACTGGTAGAACTAATCTCACCTTATTACCCTTCTTTTTCAGTATTTCTTCTGGCTATTCTAGAATGTTAGTTTTCCATAAGGACTTCCAAATAAATGTGTTTCTTTCTTTTAAAAATCAGTTGAGATATCACTGAGATCATCTTAAATTTACAGAATAATATAAGGAGAATTAATATCTGTACCAATGGATTGTTTTGCAGTTACTTAGGCCAGAAACTTAGAGGACTCATGTTTGATGCACAACTGTCTCTTCTATATCCTTCATCGATCTATCAGCAAATCCTAGCAGCAGTTCCTTCAATATCTACCCAGAAACTGACCACTTCTCACCCACCCCCCATTCATGCCACCACCATTTCCCACCCACATTTCTGTGATAGTTTCCAAACTGGTCTCCCAGCCTTTCCTCTTGCTTCAGTCTATTCTCAACCCAGAAGCTAGAACAAACCATTCAAACATAAGTCAGATCACCCCACTCCTCTGTTCCAAACCCTCTGCACAATGGAATACTATTCAGCCACAAAAAAGGAAATCCTGCCATTTGGGACAACATGGATTGACCCGGAGGGCATTATGCTAAGTGAGGGAAGTCAGAAAAAGAAAAGCAAGTACTTTGTGATCTCACTTGTACGCAGAATCTGAGAAAGCTGACCTCACAGAAACAGGAAGTAGATTGGTGGTTGCTGGGGCCTGGGGGTGGGGTGTGAGGGGATGCAGGGGTGTTGGCCAAAGTGTACAAACTTCCAGCTACAAGATGAGCAGGTTCTGAGGATCTGAGGTACAGCCTGGTTAACTATGGTTAACAATACTGCATGTTGTACTTGAAAGTTGCTAAGTGAATTGATCCTAAATGTTCTCACCAAACACACACACACATAATGATGTGCGTTGGTGGAGGTGTTAAGTGACTATATGAGGTAATCGTTTTGCAATAGATAAGTGTCTCATATCATCGTGTTGTGCCTTAAAACTTCCACCATGTTGTAGGCCAATTATATCTCAATAAAGCTGAGGCAGGTGGGGAGGCGGGGACTTCTAGAAGCTTCCTACTTTGCTCAAAGCCAAAAAACAGACTTGGAGCACAGATCTGAAGGTGAATGAACTGACCATGTGACTATTTGAGGGAGAGAGTCCCAGGCAGAGGCAAGAGCCAGAGGAGAGCCTCAAAGGCAAGGAACATGGCGGCCAGTCTTGGAGCTGCAGTTACAGACAGGAGGAGACCACAGACCTGGGTCCCATGGGCCAGTGTGAGCTAAAAATTGTTGAAAGCAGTTACTTACACAGAGTGGGAATTGGGATAGCAGGGGTGTGGTAAGGGAGGATTACCTTTTACATTGAAAGCCTTGTGGAACTATCTGACTTCTCTAAGTATATGTACGACTTTGATAAAAATGAAAAATTAATCGAGAATTTTAAACCACTGACATCCAAAGGAAAAATATAGAAACGAAGGGAAAATCTTAACAGATGGCTTTTGTCAGCATGTAGTGGGAGTTATGCTTTTCTTTTAGCAGATGGATGGACATTCTTATAACCAAACTCCGTGATTTCTCAGTTATCATGATTCTAAATAACACCCATCAATTTAAATTTTTATCTTTGAGCAGTGCCTGGAAGGTAAGGAATATTTAGCTCTGTGTATTCAGCATTCAGCCAGTGAAACAGCAAACTGACAAAGGCTAGATTTTGTGATCTTCAGAGACACAGAGATGAGAAAGGAAAGAAAGGTTTCAACAGCATTTCGTTTCTTGCATTTTCATGTTTAAAAAAATCATTATTAGGTAGAATTGGAAACAAGTGTGATTTTTTTTTTTTAAAGATTTTATTTACTTTTTTGAGAGAGAGAGATTGTGAGCAAGAGAGCAGAAGCAGAGGGAACAGCAGAGGGAGAGGGAGAAGCAGGCTCCCCGCCCAGCAGACAGCTGGATGCAGGACTTGATCCCAGGACCCTGGGATCATGACCTGAGCAGAAGGTAGATGCTTAATAACCACTGAACCACCTGGGCGCCCCAAGTGTGATTTTTAAGAACAGAAAACATATCGTGAAACGAATGTAGGAATTGATGAAGTGTTCGCTTCCACTGAAACCTCAGCGGGATTCACATGCTGCAGGACCCCGAGTCCAAGCTTGAAGATGTGCCTTTACAAAGAAGGTGGGTCGTCAGGTGACTCAGAAGAGCACTGCCCTTGGGAGAAGGACAGAGTCTCCCCTTGCATGGAAGCAGGAGAAACGCAGTGTGGGAGCACCCGGCGGGGGGGGGGGGGCGGAATCTGCATGGTCAGACCGGTCTTCCTGCAATTTCAGGCATTAAATGCAAACCTTTCTCCTCACCATTCTGTGCTTGAAAAAGTGTCATCACGGGACAACGTTCAAGGTTCATTTCCAGCCCCTCAACTGTGAAGCAAGAAATGTTTTCATGTGTGTTTTTCCCCCTGTGTGAAGTTTCCTTTTCTAAATTATAATCTCCTTTGTTAAGGAAAGGGAAAAATGGGACACGGAGATGGCTTATTGCCTAAAATACCAAAAATAGTGTCCCAACAGGCCAAAGCTTTGTGGGGGCCACGGAAAAGGAATGCTCCAGAAGGCTGCAGGGAGACCCGTGAGAGTACGTCCAACTTCCCAGGCGCCCGCAGCCACAAATGGGGAGGAACAGGAGGGGGGGGGGCATTTCCTGTTTTCTCACCCCCATCAACTGCTGACAACAATTTATTTTAGAGACTAGATTTATACTTATACGGGAAGCCCAGGAAGAAAATGATTCTTTCTCGAGGAATGGGAGAATAGGATGTATTTTCTTATGATTGGTTCTATCGGTCAGAAGTTAAAGCTGTTGTAGTTGTTACTGATTGAGGCGTTAGCCCTTGCGGTTCCTTGTTCTAAGGCTGTCATGTGGACGGTAAAGCCCGCACAGCGCACACGATGATCGCCACGCTGTACGCTTGAAAAGAATGTCACATTGTGTGTCACTGGATGCAAAGTTTTAAAAAATTATTAAAAATTTCCTAAAAATTTTTTAAAACATTTTATTTATTTGAGAGAGAGAGAGAGAGAGAGAGAGAGTGGGAGAACACAGAGGGAGAGTGAGAGGGAGACAGTAGACTCCCCACGGAGCAGGGAGCCCCATGTGGGGCTTGATCCCAGGACCCCGGGATCATGACCTGAGCCGAAGGCATATGCTCTGATCAGTGCTTTTCATACTTTTTCACCATGAATATCTTTAAGAAATAAATTTATACAGTACTGCACATACATACCCCAAACCAAAAACAATGGTGACATGCACGCAAAGACCCTTACGAATGTGATATGCACTGGTATTTTCTGTTGAATTTTGTTCTCTTCCATCAGGAAAATTTCTGTTAAAGACCCTCAGTGAGGGGTACTTGGGTGGCTCAGTTGTGAAGCATCTGGCTTCGGCTCAGGTCATGGTCGCAGGGTCCTGGGAACGAGCCCCACATCAGGTTCCCTGCTTGGCGCGAAGCCTGCTTCTCCCTCTCCCACTCCCTCTAGCTTGTGTTCCCTCTCTCTCTCTCTCTCTCTCCCTCTGTCAAATAAATAAAATCTTAGAAAAAAAAAAAGACCCTCAGTGAGTTTCTTCACTAATGGATCCCACACACAAAAAATCTTCAGATCGTTGACCAATTCCTTATTATTTTGTCACATAATTGGAAACACTGAATTTAGAATCCCAGATTACCAGATAATCCCTACCAGGTAATACCTCTTGTTATGTTTTTATTCTGCGTACTAACCAATGACAAAATAAGTCTGTTATTATGTAGCATGATTTCTAAATTTATTCTTTTTTTTTTTTTTTTTTGAACTAAATTTATTCTTTTTAAAGTGATCTCAGATTACCCTCTGGAACACCGGCCACATCTTTGTCCTAACTGGTCTCTTCTGAAACAAGGTCTGGGAAGGCACACGAGCAGTTATCAAGCAGAACTTCTGGAAAACTCAAATCATCCAGCCGACCTGAAATGGTGGGGCCTGTGAAGAAATAATGCAGAAAGATTCCAAGGTTGGGACGCCTGGGTGGCTCGGTCAGTTGAGCGTGCCTTTGGCTCAGGTCCTGATCCCAGGGTCTTAGGATGGAGTCCCACATGGGGCTCCCTGCTCGGTGGGGAGTCTGTTTCTCCCTCTGCTTCCCCAAGCTTGTGCTCATGCTCTCTCTCAAATAAATCAATCCAAAAAAATATTCAAAAAAAAATTTTTTAAGACTGGGTATCCCTTAGCTTCTTGTCAACTCATGAAACAATTCTTTCTCAATCCAACATTTTGAACAGTTTCTAGTAGGAGGGTGCACCTTACACCATTAAGTCTGTGCAAATTTGTAAAATCAACAATTCTCTATCAACTTGAAATAAAACACAGAGAAGCCACTGTATATAATTCTGGTTTTATTGCTCATTATTTATGCCATTCCATACAATTTTACGTAGACAGACTCGGAGAAAATATACTGGGAGTGTTGAATAGACGGTGATAAAACAGATGAGAATGTTCCAGTGTTTTATAGAAGGTGGTCAGAGGCCCCGCTGCCACCATCACCCCCCAAATTTGTACATTTCATATAAAAAAGAGTAAAAATAGTTCATTGGCATTTAACTAGCATTATTCTTTGTCATCTTTGAACCACAGTAAGCCTGAACAACTTCAGAATCTTCAGAGCAAGACACAATTTGTTCCACGAGCAGATCTGTAGTTTCAGTTTCTTTAAAAACAAACAAACAAATCAACACAACAAAAACCACGTACACAACCCCAAAAACGAAAGTTGGCGTATTCCGGTGGTCTTGAATTGTAATGCTTCTATTAGTTCAAGATATAAAATGTGATTTAGCTTTTGAAAACCAGATTACACTTCTTTACCATAATTGTATTTACTGTGTAATTCCAACCATTTAACTGAGCCTAATATCAGCCCAGTAAAAGCCACGCATACAATTTAAACTGCTCTAATGCTAAGGACATGTCTTTAGAAGTTCATTATTCTTTGAAAAGTCAGACCCGAGCTGCACAGGTGTAACAGGAGGAACCAACAGTCTACCCTTCTAGAACCAGCAGCAGTTCTCAGGGTTCTCCACCCAGGGAGCAAATGCAGTCCCTGTAAGTCACACAACACATCAGTGACTTCCTGGTTACATGTCACTAACAGTTACCCTGCTCGTGATTAAAAACATCATCAAGCTTGTACTATGATTCAGCATTTGAAACACTTCTACGTTTATTACTATGAAAACAGATGTTCAGCCTGAGAAATCCACATGGCTACTTGAAAAGAAACAAGACCTGAAAGGTGGTTTTATGTTAAACCATTTAGAAGACCTGTTGCGAGAGAACAAAAACACACAGTGGCAGAGAAACAGGAATTTATTAAAACCACTGTCTCCCAACAATACAAAAATTAAATATTAAGGCATCTTTTACTCCCATCTTGGTATATGCAGCAAAGAGAAATGTTTTCGGTGGGAACCAGCGCTTCTACTCAAATGCTTCTGAATGTATTTGGCAGATTTATTTTATATTCCCCTATTCCACATGCGGCCGAAAACTCTCATGGTCAAACATCATGACCCAAAGGAAGAGAAGAGTATGAACAGATACTCACTTACTAAAAAGAAAGAAGCGGTTCACCCTTGAAAAATAAAAAGGAACTACAAAGAATATTATGTAATAAGTTCAAATATTAGTATTTAAATTTCTCTGGAGCAATTTATGCTTCAGTAATTAAGAGAAAGGAGAGATGAAGACTTGATTAAGACGAGAAGTCCATTAAAATGGATCACGCCACAGAGCAACTGTTTACTCAGTATTCTGATCCACTGGGATGAGAGTTTCAAAAGGGCTTCCTACTCCTTTAAAAAATAGCACATCCACTGGAATAAGATCATATAAATTCACATTGATTATTTATTATTTCCCATTTTGTCCATTTACAAAGATCAACCATCTTCATAAAGTATACTAAATGGTAACATTTCACCTTTTATTAAGGCAAGTTTGTGAAAATAATTTAATACAACCAGATCTTTTCATGAACTTTCAGCTTAAAACGTTTTTTTTTTTACATAAGAAACATACAAAAAAATTGTTTTATAAAAAGCCACCTCAATACCAGAAAAGAATAATAATGAAGGATTTTGAACCCAGTTTCCTTCTTAAAGGATGTTCTTCCCTTGTCTTCAATTCCAAAAATTATTCGTCTTCTTTAGAGCCAGTTTTGCTTAACTATAAAAAAGGGAAAAAAGACATCATCAACAAGATTAAGCTATCATGTTACTTGAATTCACTGTTTTCACTTACTATGACAAATAAATATTTACAGTTGATAGAGCGACAGGCAACAAGGTTCGTGTAACTTAACACCATTTACTGCATTCAGCATATTTAACTACTTGTCAACTTTAGGCTCAGCTACTTTAAAAAGGATTCTTTAAAAACACAACCTCGAGGCACCTGGGTAGCTCAGTGGGTTAAAGCCTCTGCCTTTGGCTCAGGTCATGATCTCAGGGTCCTGGGATCGAGCCCTGCATCGGGCTCTCTGCTCAGTAGGGAGCCTGCTTCCTCCTCTCTCTCTCTCTGCCTGCCTCTCTGCCTACTTGCGATCTCTGTCAAATAAATAAATAAAATCTTAACAACAACAACAAAAAAAACAAAACAAAAAAACCGCACAACCTCAATAGAACAAGGAGGGGAAAAAAATCCCTCGAAGCTTTCCAAGAAATAAATTGGAACCAAGAATACACAAAAGATGCCATTTACAAAATGATGACATTCTTCTATTATTTTCACAAATAAAGTCTTCAAAAATTTTAAAAATTGTGGCTAAAAAACCCCACATAAATTAAATACAGTTTAAAAAAATGCGATAAAAATCTTAAATTGCAAGTCTTTTCTGGTAAAAATCTACAGAATTTAGCAAATGGGGCAAGGAGAGTTCCCAAAGAATACACAGACAATTCTGACCAGAATAAAGACTGAGCCACCAAGAAATCCCCATTGAACCCAAGCCCTGAGAACCCCAGAGAATGTGGGAAGCTGTGAAAAGTAGAAACTGCTAAGTTTCTAGCAGTTCTAACATTGTGGCCTCAGCTCCTCTTCCCACTTTGAGGATCTTAAAGAGCTTTCTTTTAAGTGTATGTTATACCTGCAGTGCTTGAAATTAAAATTGAAGAATTTAATTCATGTAAAAATAAAAATAACAGTAAACCCATTCTGTAATCACCAAACATTTCTTAAACGAAAAGCTGTGTTTTCTAAAACAAACTAATAGGACTTAATGCGAAGAATAGTATTGTTTTACATTTTTGCAAACTTCTTTGTTACTGAGCTCAACAGGAGACCACTGGGTTTTCACAAATCTGCTTCTATAGTAAGGCAGGTATAATAGGAAACAGCAAACAAAAACACAGTACCAGTACTAAGAACAAACAGAGTTAATATAAAAATGCACATACTTAGATTCTAAACCTACTCGTTATCTTAGAAAATTCTTGAAAACACAATATAAAAGCACACATTCTATTAATGCTCTAAGAGAAGAGTATTAGTGATGGCGTCATCACTTTTCATGGGGCCTCTGGTAAACACCACAATCCACTTGTGAGAATGAGGAAAAAAAGGTCAACAATATCTTAACATTGTGATGTAAATAGTTTTGACCTTGTTGACACCCAGAGGGCCCCAGGACCTCCCAGGGATCCCAAGATCACATTTGGAAACTACTAGTTTAGGGTAACAGACTCTGAGTCCAGACCACATCTACGTGATAACTTCCCTCTTAAAAATATCTTTGTCTATTTCTCGAGATTACTGGATTATTTAAATCTTTATTTCATTTATATTTCTTGAAATTCTAATTTATATTAACAAAGACTCTATGAAAAACAAATGAGAAATTAAATTTCTGGAGCTAGGGAAGGAGGAGCACTAACACCTGTGGATTAATCAGAATATTTTTGAGCCCAATTTCTGCTGCAGGCTACTTCATGGAAAGGATGCACTCTCATTCTGAAGTTTGAAGCATTCTTTTTTTTTTTAAGATTTTATTTATTTATTTGACAGAGAAAGACACGTCAAGAGAGGGAACAGAAGCAGGGTGAGTGGGAGAGGGAGAAGAGGTCTTCCCATGAGCGGGGAGCCTAATGCAGGGCTCGATCCCAGGACCACGGGATCACAGCCTAAGCAGAAGGTAGATGCTTAAGGACTAAGCCATGCAGGCGTCCCTGAAGCCTGAAGCATTTTAAGGAGTGAAACGACTTGGCTGGTGAGGTCAATACAAGCACAGCCGGGACAACATGAAGTGTCCATCAGGCATCCATGGAGGCGGGGCCTGGGTAAATGAGACGGAGGGAGAAGCCGCACCCACACAGACATCTCGTGTGCGCTCAGCCCCTTGCCCAGGAGGAGGACCAGAAATACTGCTTCTTTATTCCGACCGCAGCTCACCCCACCCTATTCCCAGGTAATATTTTTGTACTAGACACAAGGATTATTTTAAGCAGTTTCTACAGCAAAGGTACCCCCATGACCCTAACAGCTGACTTTCAAATGAACTCTGAGAATATACTGCTTATAATTACCCATATTTCTCGGTCCCCACTAAAATCCTAATCTTTAACTATCCTTGGATCACATCTTCTCACAGCAGTAGTGGCACCAGTTGGCATGCAAAACTCATCTCATGAAGTCCTACAAAGAGGATTAACTGAACATCACTTTAATATACTGGAAAAGAAAAATACTAAGAGAAGTCGGCAAAAAAAACTTCAACGTGAAACAGAAACAATTCTAAATAGGAAAAACAGAAAATCCTTCTTGACGATGATGGGAAGCTCCATCTAGGGTTTGCCCTTAAAAAAAAAAAATACGGGGGTGCCTGGGTGGCTCAATGGGTTAAAGCCTCTGCCTTTGGCTCTCAGGTCATGATCTCAGGGTCCTGGGATTGAGCCCCGCATCGCATCGGGCTCTCTGCTCAGCAGGGAGCCTGCTTCCTCCTTTCTCTCTGCCTGCCTCTCTGCCTACTTGTGATCTCTGTCTGTCAAATAAATAAATAAAATCTTTAAAAAAAATACGAATTTTTACTAAGAAATCAAAGCATTTCTTTCGATGCCTTGTTTCTTGTTTCCACACTACTGCCAATCCACAGTCAGAGTTAGGCGCGTTCGTTCTTCACATGTACTTACATAAACAGTCAGACTTTATGGTACTTATAGCTTAGTTCTATAGATTTTTCCATTATTCAGAAAAAGAAAATCTAGGGGCACCTGGGTGGCTCAGTGGGTTAAGCGTCTGCCTTTGGCTCAGGTCATGATCCCAGAGTCCTGGGATCGAGCCCCGCTTCGGGCTCTCTGCTCAGCAGGGAGCCTGCCTCCCCCTCTTCTCTTTGTCTGCCTCTCTGCCTACTTGTGATCTCTGTCAAATAAATAAATAAAATCTTTTAAAAAATAAAAAGAAAAAAAGAAAATCTAAAACTGAAGGTGTAGGAAAGAAAAGAACGTGAAAGATACTTCAAAAATACTTACATGCTAAAGCAAAAATGGAAACAGACATTCCAGTAAAATTCAAAGGTTGCGGCGGGGGGGGAGGGGGAGAAAAAAATGGAAGATACAAATTTCATTATTTGATGGTAGACCAGTAACAATGTTTCAAAGCCCAGAATGTAAGTATTATATACCTTCACCACATCAACCCAGTTCCATCCTCGAGGAAGTTCTCCTTTGTGATCTACAGGACAAAAATAGTAACTTTATTTCTAAGACCAGGCAGTAATTTTTAAAGCAATGAATACTCTAACAAATAAGCTTTTATACATCACTCTACACAACAAATAGACTAAAATTTTAAATCACATATTATTAAGCTGGAAAACTAGTTTATCATCATTGTGAACTGAAAGCACCATTCTCAGGATATCTGCAAAATAATTTAGATGTACTCCCTTCTCACATTTATCCCATTTCCGTTCAAGACAAAACTGTGATATTAAGATAAAAACACGGAGGTGAGTTGGAAATGCCAGGAAGAAGAGCTAATCAACTTACTAGTTTCATGCACTTGTACAATGCTACCCTTTTTATAAGGTCACGGCTGATTTAAGTGAGTCGTGTTACTCTACTGCTTCGTGAGGGTTTTTAAACTCCGAAGCTAGGCTCAAGACAAGAGTCCTTATAAACCAATGTCTGCCTTCCAGACGAAGAGGAGGCCTAGTCAACTTATTTATTAACTTTGGTAGTCTGATAAAAAATTCATTATTTAACCTAACATTGTTTAATCTAACAGGTCTTTAATCTGCTGGGAGTGCTTGAAAACAAGCTGAAACTTTACATAAAAAATTCATAGTTTACAAAGTGATTTTGTTCTTGTAATAGAATATTCAAACTTAAAGAATAGTTTAATAAATATTAAGTGTTTCAGTTTAAAAAGACGTGACTTCCTTTATGCTTGATATGGCTATATACATCTCATTTTATGAAATCATCAAAATTTGCATTCAAAACAAATAGATTAGTTTTACACAAGGGAAACAGAAACTAACCTCCTGATTTCTTACAGGACAGAAGCAGTATTACTGGACCTCAATCTTAGATGCTAATGGCTCTCTTGTCCTTTATGCCTGTAAGAATCTTATCCGACTGTTTATTGGTTGTAAGGGGTATGGGGGCAGATCACCAATTTTATTAATGAAAACCATGCTAAGTTTTATTTAAAATGCAAGTTCCGGGGCACCTGGGTGGCTCAGTGGGTTAAAGCCTCTGCCTTCAGCTCAGGTCATGATCCCGGGGTCCTGGGATCGAGCCCCGCATCCGGCTTTCTGCTCAGCCGGGAGCCTGCTTCCTCCTCTCTCTCTGCCTACTTGTGATCTCTGTCTGTCAAATAAATAAATAAAATCTTTAAAAAAAATAAAAATAAAAAATAAAATGCAAGTTCCAAGTCACTAACTCCTGTATCATAACTACAGAAAGATAATGCCTTTCAGGTGGGCATCATCAAAAGAGATGGAGGTGCGGAAACAGTAATGAAAGGGAATAATCATAGGTCATTATGTATGAAAGCGACAGGGAATGAACTAATGGACAGAAATGCTACAGCATTAACAAAGAAATTAACCAACATCCTAGAAAAGAGATTGCAATGACTAACAATTCAGAGCTTTGGTTGTTCATGCTTTAATGTTAGGTGTAACAGAGCCCCAGATTTGTTATTTCACAAACCATTATGACTTCAAAAGTGTGTTCTGAGGGCCAACAAAGGTTGCTCTCTTTTTGTTCTGCCACACAGGACGTTAAACAAAACAAAAACAAAAAACCCGCCATCACTTTATAAAAGGGCATTATTTTAAACTTCCTCACCAAAGTAAAAGAGTCAGTTCTTTTCAATAAAGGGCAACTTGTAACCTTATACCAAGAATACACACACACACACACACACACACACACACAGAGGTACAGACAACAGTACACATGGACACACTTGTGTATAAGTATATAAATATATACATTTCCTCAATTGGAAAAAAAAGTTGACAGATCGATACCAATTTGCAAAAACAAAGAGATCAAATATTGGTGATATGAGGTGGAATTTATAATTCTCTTCTAAAGGTCCACAAAATGACTCTGGTTTAGAACACAGAAATTCTATTCTTAAATCTTATGCAAATTATTTAAATAAATCAACAGACAAAAACAGTATATTATTTATGTGCTAAGACCTAATGGTACAGCAGACTTCATTTCAAATGAAAGCTACAGTTCAAAGAATTTTTAGTAATGCACATATCTGCCAGAGAGGTAACCAAACAGGAAAGTCCCAGAAATGACAGAAACGATAGAAGGTAGGGCACACTTTTGTATGCTATTCTGTTTCTCACCCTCGAGACTCATTTATAGCTATACTGCCACTCACTTACCTTCTCCTCAAATGGTGAGCTCTTGCAGTGAAATAGTGGTAAATATTTTCCATATACATCTGTGACCTAAGACAGTGTCTGATCCAAGTGTTCCAAGAATGAAGAACAGAGAACTACTCCTCCAAATCAAAATATACTTATTAAGCACTCACATCACACTAAAAAGCAACCCATTTCTGTGTGTTATTAAAAAAAAAAAATAAACACAAACCTGTTTTATCTGCCAGCTTACGTTTCTGGGCTTTTGAAAGCTGTTCTTTTTTCTCTTTTTTCTTACTTGATGGGGCTGTATTAGGAGTTTCAACGGAGATGATACTGCTTATGGGTATCTAGAAAAAAACAAATAATTCCTGTACTAATGCCTTAAAACTTACTGAATTAGATCTGTAAAGTAAAATAATCCTGCATTATAATATCCATTTATTAGATCAGGTGCCATTTGTACATTGCTTTCATTCTTCTAAACGTTCCCATAGAGGGACTTACATGATGTTAGTTCCATTGTTATAACCAAGCCTCTGAGAAATAAGACCCGATACCAGCATTATGTTGAAGCTCTGAAGTTCTAAGGTAATTTTATAATTCAGCTAATTTGCTTTATTTGGAAATTTAAGTATGTCTTTAGAAAAATCTCATGTGCCTACCTAGAAAACCCTGATTCTCTGAAGAAATGAAGAAAATCTTCATGAATGAAGAAAAATATTTTGGGGGTGCCTGGGTGGCTCAGTTGGTTCAGTGTGTGACCGCTGATTTTGGCTCAGGTCACGATCTCAGGGTTGTGAGATTGAGCCCTGCGTCGGGTTCCGTGCTTACAGCAGAGTCTGCTTGAGATTATCTCTCCCCTTCCCTCTGCTCCTCCCCACCCAATAAATAAATAAAATCTTTAAAAAAAAGAAAAAGAAAAATATTTTAATTTGGATTCACGTAATCAGAGTGTGATAGGTAAAATTCGAAATTCTTACTAGGTGCCAAGCATTGCTGTAAATGTTGTACAACCTTGTCTGACCCTTACTAGACTCTTACGAGGCAGAAGCTACCATAATCCCCGCTGGACAGAAGAAGAAACTGAGCACAGTGAGGGTAAGACAGCGGCCCCTGCCCTGACCAAAACAAAGTCTCACGGTCAGTGGTGCAGCGAGGAGCAGTGAGGGTTTTCAGGGCCGCCTGGTGAGGCCTGCAGTTCCCCAGCTCTGCTACCACTTTCTCCCGCCCGAGAGCTGCCCTCAGGACTCTTCTGTGGCGTCAGGAATGCGGCAGCCAGAGCTGCTCAGGTAGAAGACCCAGAGCCTTCGCTGTCAGGAAGCCGCCGGCCTGCTTCACAGAACTCAACGGACTCTGGCCTTGGAAAGTCTCTCGGCACAGGACTGGGTGCAAAGGGTTCTAAAAAGAGATGCCTGTGGCATAAAAGGTGATGATTTCCTAAAATCCTTCTAGAAATAAAAGAACTGTTTTCCTATTCATGGAGTCTCTTGAAGCTTGCATGTTCAGAGTGAACTGGGACAAGACTATTCCCAGCTAAAGAAGGCCCCTGAAGAAAGCAATTTCCAACGTATTTGGGCACCACGTACGAAATCCTCCATCTGAGCTTTATGGAGACGTCAAATATGGTTAATACATTTAAACAAATATTTGGTTCAACAGCACCTCAGTTGTGGTGGGCACAGGAAGTATTCTAGTCTCACAGGAAGGGTAAGATCTATAGGATATGATTTCATTTTTAAAGTTAAATAGGCACTGAGAAACCTTAAATTCACTATTCTTACTTAACAGATGTAACTTGTTTTATTTCTTTATTTCTAAAGATTTTATTTATTTATTTGAGAGAGTGAGAGAAAGCATGAGCTGGGGAGAGGCAGAGGGAGAGCGGGAAGCAGGCTCCCTGCTGAGCAGAGAGCCCGATGCAGGGCTCGATCCCAGGACTCTGGGATCATGACCTAAACTGAAAGCAGACACTTAACCCCGACTGAGCCACCCAGGTGCCCCTAACTCATTTTCAGTCTAACATGAAATCTTTCAATTAAAAAAAAAAACTACTAACTAGTAAGGACAAATTAGTAAGAGAGTGAATAAAACGAAGCACGAGCTCACCGTAGAATTCACAGGCTGGTGATTCTCCATGAACTGGTCTTTATTGTCCTTGGCATATTCAAACAACGTGTAGGTCATGGCGGTCCCAAGATTGACCTCCACGGCTTCCTGTAACTTGGCTAATATGCTCTGCTTTACAGCTGACGATCTATAATGCACAAGAAATACATGGCTGAGAGAAAAGTAAGCGACAGTGTTACAAAAAGCAATGAAAATGGAACACTACTCACATGGTGTTGTTAAAAAAAGCGTTCATAGATATAATTGGAGGTGTTTGGGGATATGTTTCTGTCCAGGAAATCTCTATTAAGAAGGCTTTGGGATCACCATTTTCACCTATCTGAAGAAAAGGGAAATCTTAGGCTTGTAGAAAGTGACACAAAGACAGAATATTTATTTAATTATGACTTTGAAAATGATGAATTACTGCCGATGCTTATAATCAGATCAGAAACACTGTATTCTGGAAAGTTCAGGGGTACGGGCTAAGGCCTACCAGGGGTTGAGGGCCATAGTCATAACGTGACTTGAGGTCCACAACCTTTCTCTCCAACCAGCCCTCTGGCTTTTTCCAGTATCAAGACTGTCTAATATAAATTTTTGTTTCCATCAAAGCTTTCTGAGGACAAAGATAACATATCAATTGTGGGGTAAAGGAATAGAATGGACAAAAATAACAATCCACAAACTTGAAAGGCCTAATCTTCGCCCTACGTTTTCCAATTGCCAAATCAGACGAGGCCTTAAGAACGAGGGATTGATATACTTTAGCACAATCCCAAGACCAGAAAAGAAAATGTAAAATTTAGAGAAAAAAAGGGAAAGGTAAAGAGATAAGGTTAAGGAGTGCCTTAGGCTAGGTGAGAACTTTCAAGATCTACTCTCTGTGCAACCTTCAAATATGCGATACGATGTTACTAACTACAGTCACCATGAATCCCTCATTTTTTTTATAGCTAGAAGTTTGTAACTTTTGACCCCCTTCACCTGAATAACTTAAAGATGTTTTCTATTTCTTTTGCTTTCCCCACAACTTTTCGAAGGTTTTAATATCCATTAATGAGCCTTGCCTGAAATGATCATCAGGTTGGTGGTTGCAAAATGGTGATTTTTCTAATAAAATTATGGAATGATTCATGAGTCAGCATCTCATCCTTGCAAAGGGCTATGCCAATCTCCTCTGTAATATTTTTAGTATATGTGCTGCTTTTTCTATTTATTTTTAGACAATAGTAACAGATTAAAAAATTTTTCACCCCAAACTGTCACTTGCCCTTTACTCTCTGACGGCTAATTTTTATTCCCTTCCCCTCAGCATCAACCACAAGACACACCAATATAAGGTGAGGCTTAGAAATTATGTCAAATAATCTTAGGGACCTGTTGATCTATATCTATGTAAGTTGATGACCTCATCGGTTTACGCTCGTGTTTCAAATACAGACATAATGAAAAAGTGACAAAAGTTACTTGCTCTATGCAGTCTACTAAGTCCTTACTCAAGGTGTGTGTAGAAGCGGGGGGGTCCTGTGCCCCCTACAGTGCAAGGTACAGAAAATACAAAAATAGAAATAAGACCATTCCTGTCTTCAAGGGGAGCAGAGATTTAGGTAACTCACGAAACTGCAGCATGATTAAAAGTTTAAAAAAGACACAGAACAAAGTATGAAGAAATGGGGAGTGGCCAATTCTGCTTTGAAGTCAAGGGAGAGCTAGAAGAGGGAGGCCCAAATACATCAGAGAAGCCTGAGTTAGGCATTAAAGAAGAAGTAGGTTGGATGAGGGACGTGAGGTGAGGGGAAGAGCAAAAGATGTGCCCACGGGCACAATATTAAAAAATGCAGGGAAATGGTCCACAGGCTACTGGGTCCAACGGACGGTAGTGGCGGGGAAAGTCTGGAGAGGCAGTGTGAACCAAACAGAAGGGCCCTGAGGGTCAAGCTGAGGAATTTAATTCCTATTCTATAGGTAGGAGAAACCCATGCGGAAACCCTTCACAACGAAGGAATGGGGTAACTAATGTGTTTCCGAGAGTTACCTAGTCATCTGCAGGACTACTGGTGGTGTGGAGGGAAGCTTCAGACCAAACTGAAAGGGGAGAATGGTCTAGGAGCTTACCGAACCAGTCCGCTAAACAGGAACTGAGGGGGCCTGACCAGGACCCAGCCAGACCTGTACCCTTGTCCTCTGGCTCTCAACATGTACAAGGTTTCCAAGTTTCATGTTTTATTCCCTTGCGATCCATCCTGCGGTCACAGCGGAGAATCCATCCTGTAGGACACACACATGTCCTACTATGTTCCGTATACTGTGTCAACAAGTGACCACACTTGTTAATACAGGTGTTTAGGGAAGTATGGGGCAGTTCTCAATCTCCCATTTGCTAAGGGGAAAGTGGCAGTGCTTGGGGACCTTTGGGGAGACAGCTGGATTCATATGGAAGGGCCTAGCACTTGATCCCAGTGTTAACCTTGGCCATTAAGTTTTTTTGTTGTTTTACCCATGGAGTGGTGTAAGGACTGTTGAGCTTGAAAGGAGCCAAGCAGACGGGAGAGTCTCTAAAGAAAGTAATGATAAAGAATTTATCTTCTGTAACAGTCTGTAATAATGACATATAAGAATCCCTTATCACATAATTTATTTGAAATAATGATGTGAATAACTAAGTCTTAGACCAAAAAGCTTTCTCACACCACTACTGCTTATAACCATCTGGGAGAGCTGGTTTCTTTTATTTACTTACAAAACAAGATACTGGTGATGTTTCATGTTGAGAATAGTTGTGGGCAAACTCCCTTTTAAAGAATATGTAAAAAAATATTCACACATATTGTTAATACAGAATTAGGAAAGTATCAATTTTTCTTGACTATATCATAGGGTGGGGAAAATAATACTAGACTTGGAATAGAAACCAGGATTTTAATTCTAGTATTTATCAGCATCAGCTGGGAAAGCTTGGGAAGTTATGACTGAGAGACACGATCTTTAAGGTTAGAAGGCAAGACCATGTAACTTCTAAGGTTTCTTCCATTTCTAACATTTGATCATTCTGTCACAATAAAAACAAGTTTCTCTTAGTTTTTAAAAAGTTTCTGAATTGTTCCCCAAAGTTAAAAATAATTGATGTCACGGTGATGAGCTTTCATTCAAATGCTTCAGAAAATCCAAAGAGGTAATTGATTTAAACCGTTAAATTTAAAAAAATAAAAGCACTTTCAGCAACCTTCAATCTTTTCTAGCAAAGTAGCAAGGGCTCCTAGTCATGTCATGTCTTACCCGATATTGAAAGGAAACTGGACTTAACTCCCGGAAACTTTCGTCTCCTTCATAAATGGAACGCAGAGCTTCCAGTTCCATCTGGAAAAAAATAAATGTATCAAATGAGTTTTGTTTAGTGGTATAAATGGATTGACATAGAGGATGTTTAGTTTCTGATTCAAGCCCACTCAACTATGTAAAATTTAGTTACTTTTATGGCCTTTGATGTTTATAATAAATGTATATATGTGCAAATAGTAACACAATGTGAATACTAATACTTCCTTCAAAGTTATGTGCCAGGCACCCCTGAGCATTTTACAGTGCACTGTCTCACTCATTCTCACTTCAATCCTGTAAAGAATATCTTATCTTCTCCTTTCTACCCGGGAGGAAAATAAGTCAGTTTAAAGTAAATTTAGATCATGTGTCCTAGGCTAGGATAGAAAGAGCGTTACACTTGGAAATGGGAAATACAAAACACAGTATTTCCCCACTATTTACATGTATTATTTATGTTTGAAATCCTTCCCACAGAATGATATGAAACTTGAAAAAAACACCTGCAGATCACAAAAAGAACTTAAAATGATGGTTAGAAAGAGGTTTGACGAGAATCTACCCAAGATCGGATAAAAAGGACTTCAAGAGAAAATGTAACTAATAATCCTTGCCTGGAAATATTTCTTAGAACACTGTGGACTGACAAATGGGAAGACTCAAAGACTGTTGTGATTACCGAAGAGCACCTGAAGAAGAGAAGCAAAGAAAGACAGTACTTTGATACATCCTTTAGTTTTCAAAAAGATGCACATCGTGAATGCTACAAACTAAAGGGAGACAAAATTTTAGAATAGATTATTAAAGAAATAATTTGTGGGGGCCGAGAAGAATAAAGAGTAGCAGTCCCTAAGCCTTGGCAAGCATATGAAAAACAAGATAAATGTAAACAAAAATGTTAGAGAGGATAACTTGATTGGTACGTTGAGGAAAGGCACAGAACCCAGGTCTACCTGGGTTTCTCTTGCTACCTTCATGTGAAAAAAATACAGGAGTTCAACTGGATTCAAGAACCAAGATGAGATTAGAAAGAGTCAACTTACTCAAAATATTGGGTTACTCCTCCTACCCTTAATCCTTTCTTGTATTTTAACTAATGAGTAGGACAGGAACAAAAATTGAAGGCAGGCTTATGAAACTGATGAATGACAATTTGATGGAATAGTGAATCATGCTGGTGGCTGAATAAGAATTCAAAGTGTCCTAGAAAAACCATCTAACAAGATGAAATTTTATAGGGTAAGTGGAAGAACGTGTCTTTGGATACCTAAACACAGTAGAGGACGAAAGATAAATTGTTTTGCACAGAGCACTTAAAGGGCTGTAATTGACAGAAACTAACTAGAAAACGGTGATGCCACAATTTAAAAACAGGACATAAATAAATTTATAATCTGTCCACAAATACACAATCCCAAGACAAGGAACAAAAAGAATGGACATATGGAGAAAAAGTGAAAAGGAATCATTTAGTATGAGCAGAGGGCATCGGAAAAAACGGGGCAGGAAACAGATTTCAAAGTTCTGAAAATCAGTCGTGTGGAAGAATGGAATTCTGTTGTTAAAATCCCTGGGCCCCTCAGGAACTTCAATCCAGTAAATCCGAGGTACAGTACAGGCACTTGTTTTTCTAACAACCACCCGGATGAGTCTAAGGCAGTGTTCCATGGGCCAAACTTTGAGAAACATGACATGATACACTCCACACGCCTCGACTTACAAAGTAACCTGGCAAGAACAGTTCAGAAGCGATTTCAGGTATCAACCAGCTTGTTGCCCTTTGGGTCCTTCCAATGGTAACTTCCATTCCAGAGATTCTATCACATCTATCTTGTAAAAGTGCTAACTTTGAACAAACATATTCTAAATGAAGAGTGAATTACTTGGCTAGGAGACTCGCATTCTAGTTCTGATTCTACCCCATGCTCACTGGCAGCCCCAGGGCATCCACTTTACCTTTGCAAAACTCTTCCCCTCATCTGGACGCATTACACCAATAGGTGGCTCCCCTAGAGATGACCTGTATCATTCCCCGATCACATGATTCAATGTCAAAGTGGCATTTCATGAGAAAATCGCTGAGCATAAACTATAGGAGTCAGGCGGTACATGTTCGCTCAAAACAGCCTTCATTTCCACCGGACAACTACCAGGTGGATAACTGATTCCACCAAACAAAAAGGCCAGAAATCGGTGACACTTAGTGTCATGATTTTCCTCCACTGGAAATTTAACTAACTCAGCTCAGTCTCTCCCTACCAGCCAGGAGATTTTAAAAATTTTAAGGTGATCAGATTGCAAGAGGCTGAACTCCGTACAGGAGCGCTGAACAGGAACACTGGGGATTGAAGGCGAGGCAAGAGCACCGGGTCGCCTTCCAAGGACACGCATCCTTGTTATTAAGGTGGCGTGGGGCCACCCCCGGGCTTGCAAAACTGAAAACTCCAGGGAGGAGCGGAGGCAGAGGCGGACCCTTCCCGTTGCCGCGTGCCTGGCCTCTCCTCGCAGGGCGCCCGGAAACTTGGGGCACCCCAGCCAGGCTCTGTCCGCTCTAGGGGCGAAGGCACGTGCGGAGCCGCTCGTCCCGACCCCCGGTCCCAGCCCGCCCTCGGGGGCTCAGCCGCCTCCCTTGGAGCCGAGGCGCCGCGCCGGCACGGGGAAAGGGGCGTCCAGCCAAGGGGACTCACCTCCTGGTCCTCGTTGGCACTCATCGCGCCGGCCGCGGGACGCCCCCCCGGGAGGGCGTCTGCGACCACGAGAAAGCGAGAGCAGTGGCCCCGCGCCCGGGGCGTCCCCCTTCCAAGCCTGGGCTGCGGGAGGCACACCCCTGGCACCGCAGACGAGAGTCACGCGCGCCCCGGGCCTTCGTGCAGCGCGAAGCAGCCCGCTGGGGGGTGTGTGGGCGGGGAGCCCGAGGCCGCTGAGGGTGGGGCGCCCGGACCACCGGGGAGACGCTGCGGGGCGGTGCCGCAGAGGCTCCGCCTCCTTTTCCTTCCTGCTCCTCCTATTGGCTCCTTCTCTCCCCACCCCTATTTCCTACCCCCGTAGGAGACGCGCTTCTTCCTATGTTTTGTGGAGCGGCGTTAAGTTTCGGGACAGCGGTTGGTGTAGAGCGCTGTCACTCAGATGCAGAAAGTGCTTCCTGTGCCGGCGCGGGCGGGTACCGGGAAGTCTCGCTGGCGGGCACCGGCTCCGGGGCGGTGGCGGTGGGGACGGGCCCTGGCGTTCTGCAGGTCACCTGCCTGCTTCCCTTCGTCTTCCCCCGGCTTGCGGCGACCGGCCACAGCTGCAGCGGGCCCGGGGCGTGCGGCCTGGGTGAGTCCGGCCCCGGAGACCCGCTAGGGCAGGCGAGATCGCCGAGACAATGCCGGTTTGGGGCGGCCCTGCGTTTTCCTTTGGCGTCTGCGGGGGCAGTCCTGGCATTTCTCTTCCAGCCCCTAGAGAAAAGACGCACCTGTATCTAGGGCCTTCGGGTTTAAAGGGGAGGAGACGGGGAAGAGAGCGTCTGCCTGGAGGGCTGCGGCGTTATTTCTCCCTTCCCTCATTGGATTCCCAGGGCGGAATGCTGAGACCCCGGGGATGGTATCTTTCTAAGGTGGCTGCTTCACGTTCTCAACATCTCCCTGCCCCCCACCCCCGCTCCAGCCCGGCCCCAAATTGTCATTCCTCTCCGAGTCGTCTTGTAGTCCTTGCTGGCCTTGTGTACTACACCCTGAACCTCCGTTAATTAAAAAATAGTGACCACATTGCTTTTTATTTTTTTTTAACCTGCCACTTGATTAGGTCGCCTTTCTTTGCTGTATGTCATCCTTTTCAAGAAACTTCCTATTTTCCACGCCTGCTTCCAGATTCCTTGCTTTTGCGTGACACGGTCTCCCATCCAGTGTGTTCATTCACGACTTTTGCACCTCCTTCCGTGTCATACTTTGTTAGTTGCCTCATTGGCTTCTTCTAGGAGAGCTGGGAATGTCTACAGACTGTCCTTAAGAGCCACACAACCTCAGCATCTGTCCTTTGCCAGTGTTTTTCCCAATCCCATCCCTTTGCTGTGGAATAAGCAGTACCGTCTCAAGTGCCAAAAGTTTTTAAATAGTATGTGGCAAGAATTTCTGATCAGTTTCCGTACAGTAATTTTTGGGGTCAGAATTACCGTAATTTAAGACGGGCTGTCCATTATGATAGCCAGTAGCCCTATGTGGCTATTGAGCATGTGAAATTGGCTAGCCTGAGTTGACATGTGCTGGGAGTGTACAGTGCACATCAGATAATGAAGACTTGGTACAGAAAAGTGAAGTATCTCATTAATAACTTACATTAATGTGGAAGTGTTAATATTTTAAGGCATATTGGTTAAATAGAATATTATTAAAATTAATGTCGCTTTTAAAAAATATTTTAATATGACTAGAAAATTTAAAATTATTTATGTGGCTCACAGTAATACTTCTTTTGGATAGCACTGATTTAGAGCTTTGTAAGTCGTTTCTAGGTCCCCTTATTTCCACTCCCATTTTCAAAGACCACAGCTAATTCTCTTGAGCCTCTGGTGGTTTTAAATGAAGAAATGGACTTTAGGGCTCTAATCTAGATTCCCTGGTGTAAAGTAAAGGCCCCTGTTTAATGTGTTTTGACCATCTCTTCTTAATTTTCACCCCCAAATTCCCTAGAACTAGAGTTTTTCTTTCTCTGAACTTGTGAGCCTTTGCCCTCATAGCTTAATCCTGTCTGGAAAATATCTGCTTAAATAATTTTAAACCTCTGTGTCTTGTAGAAATGTATCATTTGTGATGAACTTTCCAAATCATTTATTCAATACCCATTATTCCTCAGTACTTAAATGTAAGACGCCTAATGATCTTTTTAAAATTAACTTTTCAGTTAAAAATATTTGGTTATTGAGTGGTGGCACAGTGCTTTTCACTTTCGCAAAAATTGCATTTGAGTTCTGTATGATATACTGGTGAAGATCACCTTTGAAAAGGAACTCTTTTTTTTTTTTTAAATTTTAAGATTTTATTTATTTGTTTGACGCACAGAGAGCGACAGCAAGAGAGGGAACACAAGCAGTGGGAGTGGGAGAGGGAGAAGCAGGCTTTCCGCTGAGCAGGGACCTGGACACAGGGCTAGATCCCAGGACTCCAGGATCATGACCTGAGCTGAAGGCAGATGCTTAAAGTCTGAGCCACCCAGGTGCCCCGAAAAGGGACTCTTGATACATGATTTTAGGAATGAGAAATGGTCTTTAAAATATAATGGCAATTTTGTTTGGAATAAACACATTTTTATATAATTGCTTTTCTATAGTTAGTGTGTGGTAGGATTTATTATGGACTGATTCTCAGCTGAAGAACACAGTGGAAACATGTCCCTCTTAGACGTTTTCATTCATTGTTAGTATTTCTCGTCTAGATTTTCATTTAAATATACATTTCACATTAATTATGGAGAGATGAGAAAACATAGCTATTTAGATAACTAGCACATTTTTAAAATAATTTTCTGGGAATTCAGAAATTAGATGTTAGCCATTATAGAGAAATTAGATAGTTGCATTTATTATATGTAAGTCAACGGTTATTTTTCTTTATATCAAAAATGGGTCATGAGACCTATTTTAATTTAATCACCTCTCTGCGGACACTCGAAAAGACTCCGTCTGTTGCCTTTTTGTAATGTTTTATAAATAGTGGAGGCAGGTAGATTAGATATGGATATGGGCTTTTAAAACATTTTGAATGTATTTACATTTCTATTTCAGATTTTTTCCTGACATCTTGAACATGAGCCCCACACAGTGGGACTTCCCTGTGGAATTATGTTGCCGGCCAATGGCTTTTGTTACCCTTACGGGCCTGGATGTAGTTTATAATGCTGTCCATCGAGCTGTCTGGGATGCTTTCTGTGCCAATCGGAGGGCTGATCGGGTACCGATTTCTTTCAAGGTGCTCCCAGGTGACCATGAGTATCCCAAATGTAGACCTAAGGTAATGGCATGATTTCATGGGAGCTTTTCCTTCTCTCCCTCTCTTCCTCTGTATGTGAGGTATATGCCTTTTTTGTTCCTAACGTCTGTGTTGAAAATCCCTGAGTTTATCAAAGCCATGGTTGTAGTGATGCATTAAGAAAACCCAGGGCTTTTTCATGTATGTAATGCACTATATTACGTTTAATGATAACTAGATTTTTTAACCCCAGAGGAATAATGACTCTATAATTACTAAGCTTTCTATGCTGGGTTTTCTTTTTCTTTCTTTCTTTCTTTTTTTTTTTTTTTTTTTTTTTTTTTTGTATTTGCTTAAAACCCCTCCCAGTCTTTGTAAGGCCTTCTCTAAAAGGAAAGTCTCACATTCCCCATTTATCATTACCAGTATCATTGTTATAATCTACAGTCTTTGCCGTTTCGTTCAGTTTCACACACCTTTTGAGCACTTACTTTGTGTTGGGTTCTAGGAACCATGCATTAGGCTGGTGATAGAAATTTAAATAAGACTAGCTCTCTGTCTCTGGAGAGTTCTACATAAACTAAAACAGTTTATTTAGTGAGGAGTATGGAAAGGTATTACATTCAAAACTGAATTTTAGGTTGAACATCATACTAGAGCTTCTAATTTACCTGGAAAAGTCAGAGAATGATGTTAAGAATAGCAGCTAATACGTGGAAAGTGCTTACAAGGCCAGTTTACTTTTTCAAGAAAATCGTGTATAATTGATTTGCTGTTTATCATAATTTTTTTTTAAGATTTTATTTATTTATTTGACAGAGAGAGAGATCACAAGTAGGCAGAGAGGCAGGCAGAGAGAGAGGAGGAAGCTGACTCCCCGTTGAGCAGAGAGCCCGATGTGGGGCTCGATTCCAGGACCCTGGGATCATGACCTGAGTCAAAGGCAGAGGCTTAACCCACTGAGCCACCCAGGCGCCCTGTTTATCATAATCTTAAGAGCTGGTTTGAAAGTCAGTTGACAAGACACATTGATCAAAATAAACCACCTGCTCTTTTTTATTATTATTTTTAATAAACATTGCTCTGGAGCAATGTTCCTGACAGACTGGTCTTTGGACCAAGGATATCATCATCACTGGTGATGTTTATGAAAAATGTAAGTGCGAGGCCCCCTTCGTGAAACTCTGGAAGGGTAGGGCCTGTGGATTTGGTGGCCGGCTGATCCTTCGCAGACCACATGCGGTTTCCTATCCCCGGCTGTCAAAGCTGCATGGTTTTTCTGACATTGTGCAGGGGACAGCACCCCAGCTCCTAGGTGTTTGTCCTTAGTGTGGAGTTTGTGCCCAGGAGGGCCAGTGCCCAGCACAGCTCTCCTTTTGTCCTGGATCCATTCTCCCTCGCGGGAGTTTTTCATGTGCCCATTCCTTGTTCTTCCCTGAGTCCCTAAGTTTTTTGTTTCCGATTCCTTCGCTGGATAATAATGACACTTTATTGTCTTTCCTCCCTTGAAGAGGCTGTTGGGGGTAGTCTGAGTCGGGGCCAGCACTCTGGAAGCAATTTGAGGTTTCAGTGAGTTTCTTCAGGGCTAACGTTCACACCAACACCTCTGTCTCTGCCGATGTGGCACTTAGTGTGACCCCTGAGTGACTGCTGTCGTGCTTCTGTATTTAAGAGTTGTCTTTCATTTTTCCCTCCATCCACAAGTAAAGTAAAATGCAACATGTCTTTGAAAGAAATGAAGCCATGTTGGGTTTTAGATTGTATTTTATTTGAGCTGCTTTGGCAAGATTGGAAACTGGAATGAGGAATAGGATTTACCTGGAAAGAGGCTAATGACTTCCAGGATATTTGAGAGCCTTGACGTTATTAGAAGTGCCCTGGCTTTGGTTATTCTTTCTTTCTTTTCTTTTCTTTTCTTTTTTTTTTTAAAGATTTTATTTATTCATTTGAGAGAGAGACAGAGCACAAGCAGGGAGACAGGCAGAGAGAGAGGAAGAAGCAGACTCCCCGCTGAGCAGAGAGCCTGATGTACGGCTCTATCCCAGGACCCTGGGACCATGACTTGAGCCGAAGGCAGATGCTTAACCCACTGAGCCACCCAGGCGCCCCAGTTATTCTTTCAGCGGAAACTGTAACAGACCCACGGTTGGGATTCTACCTCCAGTACTTGTTAGCACCCACATGATCTCTGTAGACCTCAATAAATAAAATGTTAACAATGTGTCATGTGTATGTGGAATGACGGGAACACACAGGAAGTGCGTGCCACTCAGGGACAGGTGGCTTCTGCTGTTGTTATCCAGTAAGTGTCTTCAGCTTTTGCCAATGTCCACAGAGAACTTCCTACGAATGGTACATTCCTAAGGGGATCCTAAAGACCGGCTGGATGAACAAACACCTGAACCTGGTGCCAGCCCTGGTGGTTGTGTTCTACGAGCTGGACTGGGATGAACCCCAGTGGAAAGAAAAGCAGTCCGAGTGTGCCACCAGAGTGGAGATTGTCAGGTGCGTCTTCCGTGCAGATCTGACGGGGCGTGGGAGGTGGTACCATTTCCCAGCGTTTACTCAAGGCAGCTGAGAACCAGCACTCACTTGCCGACCTCCAGGGACACTTGGTCGGTCCCTGACAGGTAGCTTAACGTGAATGCTTAACTTCTGCAATGCGAAGGTGTGTGAAGAAATGTGGATGACACGTTAGTCTGAATTTCCAAATGCTTTTTTCTTGCGTTTTACTAACTAGGGGGGGGGGAAGTATAGTAATTTGCTTTTTAGTCTCACAAGACATTTGTTCTATCCCCATTCCGGTTTCAAAATAATTCTTTTGGATGACCAGTCTGTAACGTATCAGCATCAAGAAGTAAGTTATGTTATAACTTTTACATGAAAGTATATAGTAAACTTGGCTTTGAAAGCAGATTTTTGTCAGGATTAGAAGCTTGGTATGAGAGTAGACTTTTTTTTTTTTTTTTTAAATTTTATTTATTTGACAGACAGAGATCACAAGTAGGCAGAGAGGCAGGCAGAGAGAGAGGGAGAAGCAGGCTGCCCGCTGAGCAGAGAGCCCGATGCGGGGCTCGATCCCAGGACCCTGAGATCATGACCTGAGCTGAAGGCAGAGGCTTCAACCCACTGAGCCACCCAGGCACCCCGAGAGTAGACTTTTAAAACGAAGTCACTGTAGCATAGAAGTTTCTTTGTATGTGGGGAAAGATTTCCTCTAACCTTGGATGGTTTTAGTTGAAATTCATCTTTTTAAAATTGAATCATCAAGCTTGTACTTTATGTAAGTCTTTTTTTTCTTTTAAAGATTTTATTCATCTGTTAGCATGAGTGGGGGTGGAGGGGTAGAGGGAGAAGGAGAAGCAGACTCCCCACTGAGCAGGAAGCCTGATGTGGGGCTCCATCACAAGATCCCGATATCATGACTTGAGCTGAAGGTAGATGCATAACCGACTCAACCAGCCAGGTGCCCCTGTGTAAAGTCTTGAATATATTTTTTAAAAGTCAAAACAATTTAATTATGTTTAATTAATTTTATTTTTCCATTGCAGGCAGAGTTTACAAGGGAGAAACACAAAAGTTGCAGTGGTTCTGATTCAGAAGAAAACTCCTTTGCCCCCAGGTATCAAAAGGTTAATTAATAATCAATGAATTGCTTTATACTTCCCATTCTTATTATCAGGAGGTATAGTTTTTGATGTTAAAATCTATGCATTCAGTTATAGGAAAGATGGTGTGTTCACTTTAAAAAGTACTAATAATGCATAAATAAATGCCTAGTGTAAAAAATAAAATGCTAAAATTAAAATATTAAAAAATTTAATAAAGAATATTAAAATATTCTTCTACCCCCCCAGTTCCACTTAACTCACTATGTAGGTGTACATCAGTTAACAAAATTGATTTTTAAAAAAAAATTTTTTTTAAGATTTTATTTATTTATTTGACAGAGAGAGAGAGAGAGAGAGAGATCACAAGTAGGCAGAGAGGCAGGCAGAGAGAGAAGGGGGGAGCAGGCTCCCTGCTGAGCAGAGAGCCCGATGCGGGGCTCGATCCCAGGACCCTGAAATCATGACCTGAGTCAAAGGCAGAGGCTTAACCCGCTGAGACACCCAGGCACCCCAACAAAACTGATTTTTAAAAGGAATATTATTCACTTGTTTTTTTTAAAAAAGAGTGTTATTTACCTCTCTGAGGTCAGTTTGAAATTATATTCCTACCGTGACTTTTTATTCTTAATGTGCAATCGGACAAAGAAAAATGGTATAGGATTTTTGCTTTTTTATAAGAAAATGTCTTAGCTTCAGATGCTTGTTTTTTCTGTATTCTAAGACTTTGAGAGGCCAAAATGTTTTTTGTTTCTCTTTTGAAACTTCTGGCATCTGAGTTTTAGAAACCACTTTCATGGATTATTGCTTCCAGTTTTAGTTAAAGGTTTTGAAACAGTTATGTGGCATATCTTTTGGTGTTACTTGGCCTAACTTGGCTTAGTAGAAAATTCCGCAGGGTTTTCCTAACAGATATGTATGGCATGACTTCTGAGAACCGCCCCCTAAGAGCTCTCAGGAGGCCTTCTGGCATGGCGAAAGGGGGTTTGGTTTTTCTTCCTAATTACCTTGTTTAGATTTGGGGACCTATTTGTTTAAAAAAATACGTGAATCATTTTCTTTCTCTCTTCATCTTTATGGGTTCTGTCAATAGGAGAAGATGTCACTGCGTCAGAAAGAGCTGCAGCTTTATGTAACGCGTGTGAACTCTCGGGGAAATCTCTGTTTGTCCTACCCCACACTGATCACTTGGTGGGTTACATTATAAGGTAAATAAAGATCTTAAACTTTTTTAGATCCTGGATTATCAGAGGCACTGAAAAATGGGTTGCTTAGACTTTTTTTTAGTATCCTATTTCACCTTTCAAAACAAAGGTTACCCATTTATAAAACTTCATAGTTCAGCTGAGGTTAATATGTTCTTTTAAATAGTGTATGGTTCAAAGTTTGAACCTAATATGAATTATTTTTATGTTTTAACGTTTTAAAAACTGCAGTTTTGGGGCGCCTGGGTGGCTCAGTGGGTTAAGCCGCTGCCTTCAGCTCGGGTCATGATCTCAGAGTCCTGGGATCGAGCCCCGCATCGGGCTCTCTGCTCTCTAGGGGAGTCTGCTTCCTCCTCTCTCTCTGCCTGCCTCTCTGCCTGCTTGTGATCTCTCTGTCAAATAAATAAATAAAATCTTTAAAAAAACAAAACAAAACAAAAAACTGCAGTTTTAAAAATAGAAAATCTAGGGGTGCCTGGGTGGCTCAGTTGGTTAAGCATTTGCCTTTGGCTCAGGTCATGATTTCAGGGTCCTGGGATCGAATCCTGCTTTGGCCTCCCTGCTCAGTGGGGAGCCTGCTTCTCCCTCTCCCTCTCCCCTGCTCATGCTCTCTCTCACTCTCATTCTTCCTCAAATAAATAAATGGAATCTTTAAAAAAAAAGAAATAGAAAATCTTACCTTAGGAAGTATATTGAATATTGAAAGTTTTGGCTTCTCCATTTTTTTTCTTAGTGTATTTTCCTTAAGGATATGTCTAAACTCTTTGAATATAGCTTTAAAATTATGTTTTATTCTGAGGAGGAAAAACCTTGAAGTCCAGCTTTATCTAGCTATGAATTTAGCTTTCTTTCATGCCCTGGGCAGATACTTGTAATACATACATACTTTCACAAAAGGAACTTTGAGTTGTCTATCTGTGGTCAAATTTTCTTTGTTCCTGTGTTATCTCAAACTTAGGGAGTGAAATAGGATTTGAATCCTATTGAATGTTACTTTCCCCTCACTTGCCAGTATTTTTTTCTTTTTAAGATTTTATTTATTTCCTTGACACAGAGAAAGTGAGAGAGAGAGCACAAGCAGGGGGAGTGGGAGAGGGAGAAGCAGGCTCCCCACTGAGCACGGAGCCCCACTCGGGACTTGATTCTAGGACCCGGGGATCATGACCTGAGCTGAAGGCAGACGCTTCGCCATCTGAGCCACCCAGATGCCCTTCATTTGCCAGTTTTCATTTTTGGTGCTTTTTCCATTAGTTTTCTTATCCTCTAACCTTAAATATTAAAAGCACGAAAAATAGTCAAATTAAGTGAATATTGGAAATCTCTTTCTTTCACACTTCTTATAAAATGAAAGGGGGTGGAAGTAATCTTAGAGATTATGTGATTTCTACAAATTATAGAAAAGTTATTTTTATCAGTTGTTTCTTAGACCGTAAATAATTCTAAATGGCTTTTGGGGGGGGGGTCTAATCTTTACATTTATTATTTAGAAATTTCATGTATTTTGCTTTACTTTTTGTCTTTATCATGAAGTAAAGTAGACATTGTCTCTGTCAGGATTTTACTTTCAGGTCTTATAAATCTGATACTTGAGAACAGTTTGGTTTAAACTAACTTTAGTGTTTGAATGTTGATTTTTTTTTTAAAACAGATTAGAAAATGCCTTTTATGAACATGCACAGACTTATTACTACACTGAGATCAGAAGAGTGAAATCTCATAAGGAATTTTTGAATAAAACAACACACCAGGTACATTATTTTTCCTGAAGAAGGAAATAATAGAAGCATTCCAAGAGCAGATTATTATCATTGATTATTTTTGAAGAGATTATTAAATATCTGTAATGCTTTGATGTTTTTAATTGGCTTTTGTGCTTTTAAAGTTTTTTTTTTAAGCTTTTAAAAACAAGTTTGTCTTCTCTCCTTTTGGGCCTTAAAGTTCTTAGAGATTTTTATAGCTTCCTTAACAATGCTTGTTGGAATAATTCTTGATCTGAGTATTTTCCTTTCTACTCTGATGTCTCCTCTTCATGTTAGTGTACTTTTTACATTTTAAGAGAGTGTGTGTAATAATGATATCTTTTTTCTATTCTTTTCAGCTTTTATTTGTCAGACATCAATTTAAAATAGCTTTCTTCAGTGAATTGAAACAGGATACACAAAATGCTCTGAAGTAAGTTTTTAACAGTTGTCAAACTAAATTTTTCTTACTTTTATGTTAACAGTAACATATTAATGGCAACTTGTGAATGTCAACCAAACTTTAATTCATTTTAAGATGCTTATGTTGTTTAGATTCAGGTATGTAATATTTAATTTATTCAGAGATGAATGGAATATAATATTTTGAGATTTAAAAAAATATTTCATTTTATTATCAGAAGTAAATTTCATAGTATCATAAAGCTTTCTGATCTAGTCTAATTTCATGATTGAAAGAAACATTAAAATTCTTCCTATCCTATTGACTGCTTATTTGTATATTCAGTAAAATTTTTGTGTTGACTCATTTCCACAATTAAATATATATTAGACATTATCTAATGCTGTGAATTTCTTAATATGCATGGTGCATTTATTTATTTATTTATTAAAAGATTTTATTTATTTATTTGACAGACAGAGATCACAAGTAGGCAGAGAGGCAGGCAGAGAGAGAGAGAGGAGAAGCAGGCTCCCCACTGAGCAGAGAGCCTGATGTGGGACTCGATTCCAGGACCCTGAGACCATGACCTGAGCCGAAGGCAGAGGCTTAACCCACTGAGCCACCCAGGCGCCCCAATGGTGCATTTATTTAATTCAACTACGATTTTATTTTTAATTAAAATATTTTTTTAAGTTTATAACACCGCTCAGCCTCCTTTTTAATACGAAGGCTCTGCTTCGAAGCTTTGGAGAGTAGTCGTGTATGGTTGGCAGTGGTCACACGTTTTAATTCCTTTGCTTTTACTTAAGAGCACAATTTAATTGAACATTTTTTTCTAGCTTTTCCTCTATTTTTTGAAGATTGACGGTGGCAGTGCAACGTAGATATAAGAAACAGCTATCTATCCTAAAACTGAAGAGAGGCTAAGCATACAGGGCAGAAAAGTAAGAGAAAAAAAGAAAAATAAATCTTTTGTCTGGAGGAATATTGCAGAAACATCTTCCTTTCTTATTACTGTGGAGGTGGAGAACTCCAAACTGTCTCTCTAAATCTCAGAAACTCGGTGTGATTCTAAGTGGCGCTAACGTAGTTCGTTCCTTACCCTTGGTATGAGTTCAAAACATTCCCTTCTTGTTCTGATCAGAAGTAATTCTGGAGGGCGCCTGGGTGGCTCAGTCAGTTAAGCCTCTGCTTTCGGCTCAGGTCATGGTCTCAGGGTCCTGGGATCGAGCCCCACATCGGGCTCTCTGCTTGGCAAGGAGCCTGCTTCCTCCTCTCTCTCTCTGCCTGCCTCTCTGCCTACTTATGAGCTCTCTCTATCAAATAAATGAATAAAATCTTTAAAAAAAAAAAAAAAGTAATTCTGGAAAGGAAGATTCGACCTGAGGAAGTTAGGAGCAAAGAGTGATGTTTGGAGGAAACAGAGATGCCCCATTGCCTTCCCTTTTCTGGGTAGTGTCCTTCTAGCAGACTCTCCTTTCCCACCGCACTTCCCCTTCTCCAGCCTGTGCCTGAGATCAGCAGTGTGCTCTGAACTTTGGAGATTCTGGTGTTTAAAAGCTATTGATAGTCCCTTCTTTGCTAATAAAATTTCTCTTTGTTGGAGAAGCTCGTAATGGTGCTTTTAAAAAAAATCTGATTATTTATTTATTTTTTTAAACAGAATGCTAACTTTTTAACCTAATTCTGGACAATTGTTCTCTCTCATTTTCAACTTATTTTCTGTCCGTTATTGACAGATGTTAATAACAGAACAATGTACATGTGATGTTTCTGTTCTTAGTGAAAAGTCATTGATTCCCCCCACATATTATTAATCAGTAGATCATTTTTCAGGAAATCAGAGATGGATATGTATAAGTTATTCCTGAACTGTTGAGTGCTAAGAAATGTTGAGTAAATATTGTCTCTTATTTCTAGTAATGTGTTCTTGGGAATCCTTTCTTAAAATTAATAATTAACTGTGTTGCACGTGTTTATATTAGGAATTACAGGACCGCCTATAACCTTGTACATGAGTTGCGAGCCCATGAAACTAACATTCTGGAAATAAAGACTATGGCAGGATTTATAAACTACAAGGTAAATTGAAGGTTCTACTTCAAAGAAAGGAAACTCATCTTTAAATATTAGGTTATCTTTTTGAAATTGAAAACCAGAGTTAGTTAATTGCTCTGAAGAGTATTTGATTAATTATGTTCTTCTCTTTTATGCCCCTTATTTCATAGAGCTCCCTAGTAATTAGCAGCCTAATTGCAATGCTTGGTTTTGAATTTGTGGGGCTCAGAGTTCTCTCTTAGAACAGTTTTACTTCTGTAAAACTCCTTTAGGAGGGTCTTCTGATTTTAAGTGGGAGCAAGAGAAAGTGAGAAGAAAGCTACTTTTATGACTGAATTTTATAAGACGCAACAAATCAGAACTATGTAGGCCTTCCTTGGTTTAATGGTGACATGATACAAAAGGTATAGCTGATCACCTGAGAGGAAACTTTTGTACCTGTCACGTAAGCATTTGAAGATTGTACGTGGTAGAAATAGATACCCCCAGAAGGCAGGTGGGACTTTTCGTTTTGCTTTTAATTTTCCACACTCAACTTTTAAAGATGGCTGGCCCTGAGATGGTGGCCTGAGAGGACTTAGATGCTGGAATTGACTGTATAAACATAAATTGGTACAAGGTCTGTAGAGAATATTTTTGCAACGCCTTATACACACTTTGAGTGGGTGTTCCCTTTGAACTACCAATTCCATTTCAGGAAATTTACCTGACACATGGGCCAAGCCTTGCAAATCACATACATAAGGATATTTATTGCGTCTTGTAATAGGAGAAGATTGGAAACAACCCAGCAATAAGTGACTGGTTCATATAAAGTATGACTGAGACAATGGAATATTCTACAACTCATAAGAATGAGACAGCTCCACTTACTGATATGGAATATTAGGTGAAAGAAGTAAGGTACAAAACAGCATATTTAGTGTGATGCTCTTTGTTTAAAAAGTGTAGTTGATACATAAATACACATACACTTGTCTGTGCGTAGACTGTTATCACGGAATATTCTGGGAGCTGGTTGCCTCTGGAACAGGAAATTGGATGGCTGAGGGACAGGGATGAGAGACTTAACTTTTCATGTATTCCTTGTACCTAAAATATAAAACTAATGGTAAGCATATGGAAAATAATTTAGGCGTCGTTTTTTGTGTTTTTCTTTTTACCTTACGTAGATACAGATCATTACTGTCTTGAGATAGCATTTCAGATAAAAAGTTTTCAAGAATTTCTGTAATCCTTGTTTGATACGGAGGCCACTATGCTCTAATGGTGGTACAGAAAATCTTTACTTTCTTCCAATTCTAAAACTGAAAGTTAATCTGTCCTAGGGGTGGTAGGTAGTGTTTTATTTTTGCCTGCCTGTATGTTCTTCATTGGGTAAAATTTTTTGTATTCTAGCTTACTTTAATAAGCTTTTCTAAGGTGTAGAGTAGATTCAGTACAAATAGGGAATAATTTTTTTTCTTTTATCGAGGGGACATAAGCGCCAGTTTTAGCATAGCCATTCTAATAGAGAAAATTAATTCTGTTGCCAAAAACTTAGAAGAGGAAATGTTATAGTCTTTTTGAAGTTAGTCTCACATTTTACCTGTTTTTAATTGAATATGCCTTTTGACTGTATGTTCTTTATTTGGGCGTTGATTTTCCATCTTGCAGATCTGCAGGCTGTGTTTTCAGCACAACACCCCATTGGATGCTATCGCTCAGTTCCGAAAACACATTGACTTGTGTAAGAAAAAAATTGGAAGTGCAGAGTTGTCTTTTGAGCATGCTGCGTGGATGTCTAAACAGTATGTTTTAAATTGTACTTTTAGAATTTTTTTTCTTTACGTACTTGGGCTTTGGAGGAGCGGAATTAGCATGGACTTTGGTTGTCAGTTGGACTAAGCTTTTCTTGTCAGTAAGTAGGCTTTTAGAGATCTAGCTAGTGTAGGGTATGTTTCCAGTAGCGGTAGGTAATGATTCATAGAGTTCCTTAATGAAAATCACTTAATTCATGGTACCGTCTTTTTTATTCAGTGTATATTTAGGGAGTTTCCACCATGTGCTTAGGTACTGAGAATGCAGTCAGGAGCAAAACAAAATCCCTGCTGGCACGGAGCTTGCTATTTGAGACTGATGTTTAAAAATTCTAACATGAAATTGTTTCCAGAAGCGTGGATGTGTTTGAGTGGTGGGAACTGTGTTGACGTGCGCTGCGATGGTGTATTTGTAGCGCTTTGTCAGTACAGAAGAGTAGGCTTCAATGTAGAAGTTATCTGTAACCTATAATTCGTCAGTATTTATTAGACACAGTAAATACTGTGTCAGTATTTACCAAGAAACCCCAACAGTTTACAGTTTATCAGAAGCATTATCTTAACATAGTCTGCTGAGGTTATGTTGTCAGGATGAATAATTATTAGAAGTAAGCTTCTTTATCTTCCCTTTATCTTTGTCATCATTTTTTTATTTCTTGATTTTTTTTTTTTTCTTTAAGATTCCAGGCCTTTGGAGACTTATTTGATGAAGCTATTAAGTTAGGGCTGACAGCTATTCAAACTCAGAATCCTGGCTTCTATTACCAGCAGGCAGCGTACTACGCCCAGGAGAGGAAACAGCTCTCAAAAACCCTCTGTAACCATGAGGTAAGTGACCGACTCCCGTGTCATCTGGCACTTAGGAAATGTATTAATCATCTCTCGAAAGTGGATAAGACTAATGGATGTTTATAATCTTTTCCCAAGCCTTTGAACAGAATCAGTTTTCTTCTGATAAGGTAAAAATATCTTCTATATTTTCAGGAATTATGGTTATTTTCACTTTTAGCCTGAGTACTCCATTTCCACCTGTGGATTAACACAAGTTTTTCTGTCAGGAACTGACTTATGACTGGTAATAAGTTATTGATGTAGACAAGGGCAGATTACTTTAAAATAAAAGTCACGGTGTGGTCTGAGCCATGCTCTAACTCCCTTTGATCACTGCTGTAGGAGTTTGAAGGACTTTGGAGGAATATGCTTTGTTTTGACCCACCAGAGAGGATCTCTTTGGACTTCTTTCTCTTCCTTGGGCTTTCTTCTGGAAAATTCTTAAGAATCTGTTCGAGGCATAATGTTTGTTTTTAGATTTTATTTATTTATTTGACAGAAAGAGACACAGGGAGAGAGGGAACACAAACAGGGGGAGTGGGAGTGGGAGAAGCAGGCTTCCCATTAAGCAGGGAGCCTGATGGGGGGCTTGATCTCAGGACCCTGGAATCATGACCTGAGCCAAAGGCAGCCGCTTAACGACTAGGCCACTCAGGCGCCCCTCGAGGCATAATATTAATTGCAGTTTCTTTTCCCTTTTTTTTTTTTTTTAAGTATTTTATTTATTTATTTGAGAGAAAGAGAGAGAGTGAGAGAGAGCACGAGAGGGGAGAAGGTCAGAGGGAGAAGCAGACTCCTCGCGGAGCTGGGAGCCCAATATGGGACTTGATTCCGGGACTCCGGGATCATGACCTGAGCTGAAGGCAGTTGCTTAACCAACTGAGCCACCCAGGTGCCCCTGATTGCAATTTCTTAACTTGACATTTCATTCTGCCTGCCTTGTGGGTGGTTATAGTTAGATACCAGCGTCCCCATAAGCACCTTTAAAATAAGAACATGGTATGTATATGTATAAATATATTTACATTCACATGCTTTTGTCAGTTTATTTTCCTTGAAAATCTGCAGTTATCTTCTCCGAAGATAGGTGGATATTATCAATAGTGCTACTTAAACAGTTCCAAAAACAGTTTGCACCTTAGTACTTAAATTGTTGGATTTTTTTTCCCTTAAGTCATGATATAACTACACTGTTTGCTACCCTGTTATTTGCATATGATTTATATCTTCATGGTGTATTTTATATTTAAAAATTAGGCTTTAAGATTTGAGCATAGTATTTTAAAAGGTGATTAAAACTATGTTTTATAAGGGTACAAGGAGATGGGATTAACAAATATCCTTAGTTGGAATGTAAAGTAATATTTCTGTCAAATAATAATTTGAAAAGCCTCAAAATCATGCATCTCTTTTGACCCAGAAATCTATTTTCAGGGAGTCTAAGGAAGATAGGAGATCCTAAGAGAGAAGTGCTGAGATCTACTTATCAAGTTCTTTGGGCAGACTTACTAATTATAATGTAAAAAATAAATAAGATGAACGACATAGGGAATTTGTTAAAATATGGAACAGCATGCAGCCATAACAAATAATGTTTTAGAAGAATAGTTAATGATGTGAAATTTACAATGAATATATTTAAGTGAGAAAAGCAGGTTGAAGGATCATTCCATTTGATAACAAATAAATGTTTGCATACAAAATCTGGAAGACTAATGTAAACACTGTTAATAGTGGTAATAGGTTTATAGGTGATTTAAGTTTTTATCCTCTTCCTTTTGGATGTTTTCTGTATTTCTCAACAATGTACTTGCATTATATTTTGGTTTCAGAGGGAAAAAGTTACAAGAAAGAAAAATAAAGCAGTGTAAATTTGTAAATTCTGGCACCAAAAATAGCCCTCCCCAACCAATATCAGGACTTAATACACAAGTGATAAAAAAGGAAAATAATGTCTTCTTTTTAAAACTCCTTATCACATTTTTTTTAAAGATTTTTTTTTTAATTTATTTGACAGACAGAGATCACAAGTAGGCAGAGAGGCAGGCAGAGAGAGGGAGAAGCAGGCTTCCTGCTGAGCAGAGAGCCCGAGCGGGGCTCCATCCCAGGACTCTGGGATCATGACCTGAGCCAAAGGTAGAGGCTTTAACCCACTGAGCTACCCAGGCACCCACATTGTTTTAATTGCACAAAAAGCACTATGCATATGGAATAAACATCAAACATAATTGGCAAAATTTTTACTGGTTTATCATAGCAAAGATGAAAAGAAAATTAAGGAGTTAGTTACTATGAAATCATTTGTCAGAATCAGGTTGATTTATTAAATTTAATTTTTATGAGACTGCCTAGGTATTAAATGGAATGTTTATTTTCATTTTTGTGAAGATTTAATGTGTGTTAAACTACAACTTTGATATTGAGACATATGTTTGGTATTTTAATTTATGAAAATGTTTTTATTCTGTCAGAGATTGAAGATGAGTTGGTTTGTGACAGGTTCATAAACTCTTATTTAGGGCTGTGTTTTACTTTACAGGCTTCAGTAATGTATCCCAATCCTGATCCATTAGAAACACAAACAGGCGTTCTTGACTTTTATGGACAAAGATCATGGCGACAAGGAATACTAAGTAAATAATTTTCCCTCTTCCCTTTTCTCTCAGCCTCAAATGGCACAGATCACTATCGCAGTTTTTCCATTGGCTCCATAGGCTGTAATAAATTATGTAGAGGTAAAAATGTGTGTTTTTTAAACATCCTTTTAAAGATTTTTCAGTTCTTTAGTTTTTAGGATGTTTTGTTTGTATCACTACATCTTAGAATAACTTCTAATCGAACATGAGTGTGATTAAAACATTTGGACATCTCTTGTCTTAAATGACCCAATAAGCCACTTAGGTCTATTTTAATTCCAGTTAACTTTGGTGATTTATTACATTTGATCTTTTGAAACAGTATTAACTTGTATTACCTTAAATTTCTCTGCATCTTTTTTGGGTTTGATACACACTTAATTTGATCAGTGTCTATGGCAATCAAACCCTAATTGTTAAGGAATTATCTACTTTAATCTCCAGAAAGTGTATTCTCTATTGAGAATGACATTGATCTTATTCTTTAGGTGGTTGACTCCACTAGGGCAAGAGAATGCTGAGTTCAATAATGTTCTCTTCAGAACAGAGATCACAGAGAAGTTGCCAGGCTAATAAAGCAGTCTCTTGGAATCTTTAAGATTCTAGAATGGTTAAGAATCTTGAATACATTATATATAAGTAAAGGATTCAAGGAGTGTACACATCCAATGTTCATGTGAAGGATTTATGTTAAATGAGCTATCTAAAATGGGTTGTGTCTTATCTTACACAGGTTTTGATCTTTCTGATCCTGAAAAAGAGAAGGTGGGAATTCTTGCCATTCAGCTGAAGGAGAGAAGTGTTGTTCACTCTGTAAGTTTGTTGGGTTTTTTCCCCCAATAGAAATTTTTTTTTTTTTTTTTTTTGGCTGTATTCAAACAATACATGACATTATTTTTATTGGAATGTTTCACACTTTCTCTCTTTTGGCAGGAAATAATAATAACTCTTCTGAGCAATGCTGTTGCACAATTTAAGAAGTATAAGTGTCCAAGAATGAAAAGTCATCTAAGTATGTATTCCTAAGATGCCACGGTTTCATGCAACTTGGAATAATTTAGAATTATGTACATAAAATCTTTTTCCCTTTACAGTGGTTCAAATGGGAGAGGAGTATTTTTATGCGAAGGATTATACCAAAGCTTTGAAGTGAGTCTTAGTCCCCATTTATTTTTATAAGTAATCTGATTACCTTATAGCAAAATGAGAATAGAAATGAGTTTTAAAGGATTTATAGTTTCCATATTTATTTCTGTATCTATGAAACTCCATTTCTGTTATATTTTTTTAAGTGCTATCTGCTGGTACCATCATTCTCAATGTCTTGGGAAACCAGGTTCATCTAAACGTGAAATTACCAGTTAAACTATTTCAGTAAGAGTTTCTGATGTGTATATAGAATGAGTCAAGGCATGTTATTTCCTCCAAGAAGTCTTCAAGGCCTTTCTTGTGAAGCTGTTTCAGCGTGTCTGACGTCTTGCCTTCTGTCAGGTTGCTGGATTACGTGATGTGTGATTACCGGAGTGAAGGGTGGTGGACCTTGCTCACGTCCATACTGACTACAGCTCTGAAGTGCTCCTACCTCATGGCCCAATTAAAAGATTACATAACTTACTCCCTAGAACTCCTTGGAAGAGGTAACTTGGTGTTCTCTCAGTAAGATTCTGAATCTTTAAAGTTATGTAGCATCTTTAAGCTTCTTAAAATGAAAAGAATAACTCTCTCAAGTCTTTGACCGTACTTTCACCCTATGTAGATCAGTTTGCCAAAGGAAGGGACTCATAATTTCATGGAACTTACTAGAGTCGAGGTCTCATGATAGTTGAGAAGAACAAAATTCTTCTTCCTTTTTTCTTTTTTAAAAAATACGTCATGAAATGATTTTTCCCATCGAGTTCAAATGCAAGTATCTAGAGTGTTGGGGCTCCCATAGGAAGCTGTGTTGTTGTACATTGTCTGGAATTGCGCTTAGCCATGTCAGAAAACTTATTTATCCTGTAGTATTTTAATACCTTCCGTGGGGGTGTTGGCTTTTACTTGCCTGTCTTACAGTTAGAGTTTCTTTCCTACTTCCATTTCACGTTAGCTTCAACTCTGAAAGACGACCAGAAATCTCGGATCGAAAAGAACCTCATAAATGTTCTGATGGTAAGTCGGAATTCTTTCTATAAAATAAGCTTTGGGCGTACATAGACCTAGACCCGTATCTGTGTATTTTTATCGCTAGCTGACCGAAAATTGTACTCTGTTGGTGCAGAATGAGAGTCCCGATCCAGAACCCGACTGTGATGTCTTAGCTGTGAAAACAGCTCAGAAGCTGTGGTCGGACCGCATCTCCCTGGCTGGTAGCAATGTCTTCACAATAGGGGTGCAGGACTTCGTGCCGTTCGGTGGGTCCCCAGCACCTGCGGTGCTATTTCAGAGGAATCCTCCTTATTGCTACAAAGTGAATAGCCGCGGAACCAGAAGTATAACAGTCAAAGGAAGAAGGTTCTAAATATGTTATCCTATAGATGAAATTGTGATTTTTTTTTTTCTTTCTCCCCATTGACATAAAGATTTTCAACATTTTAAGTACTTAGCTTATATATTAAAATTCACTTTGTTCGTTTGTGTAAGAGTGATTTGAAATGCATTTGAGAAGACAGTCCTTTAAAAAGCTTATCCTATAATACCTAGATGGGTATTTTGAAATAAGTTAAAAATAACAAAATATTTTTTTCCCCTTTAAACTCCTGTGTTAGTTATGTTTCAGCAGCAGGTATGTTTTTAGAATTAAAGGTAGTTTTAAAGGTATACTTTCTTTAAATGTGTTCTGTTTTTTAAAAAATGAACTACATTTATGTCTGTTGAAATGGCTTAAGAGCAGAATTCAGAAAGAATATCAAGGGTCGATGTTTCCTTCCTGAAAAGTAACTGTGGTTCAGAGAATCATGGGTGTGTGTCTCGAGGGTCCTGTGGTGTGTAACTCTATTTTATTTTATTTCTAGTACAATGCAAAGCCAAGTTTCACGCCCCGAGTTTTCATGTTGATGTTCCTGTGCGGTTTGATATCTATCTGAAGGCTGACTGTCCACATCCCATTCGATTTTCCAGGCTCTGTGTCAGCTTTAATAATCAGGTAACAATACTTCTTATTATATTTTTACCATCTGTGTATCTTATTGTAGCTTGCATTAAATTAGATGAAACCAGCTTAGAGAAATTTTAGGTCTTACTGGCTGTATAGTAACAAACTTTAGTAAGGTCTATTTGAAAATAACTACATTTATAGTTCTCCGTATTAGCCTTTCAAGTGTTACACTTTTCCGTCTCTAAGTTTTGCTTTTATTCCATCCTTATGAAATGTAGGAAGTTAATTTTTTTAATACATAACTTGAATTTCAAGTGAGGTCTATCAAATATAATCTAATTGTCAAAATCATTTATTTTACATTCTAACTCTGGTATTCGTTTTTTATTATAAAACTGTTAAATGTGTGATGTTAAAGAAATTGAAGTGGAATGGATGGATGTAAAGTGAAAAGTAAGCACATGCCCTCCGGTCCCATTCCCTGGAAGTTGTCACTGTTAACTTCCTGAATAGTCGAGGCATTTTCTGGGTGTGCACACAGAAGCAGCTTTTCCTTTCTGCAGAACTGGGATTATATACATTTGCACATTTCTGTAGCATATTAGAGTATTGTCAGGTACTTGAGTACATTTCACATATTTCAGTTCCAAGCTTGCTTCAGAGGTAATTATCTTCTGGTTACCCAGAAAGTATACTGAGCTGTGAACCAACAAGCATTTAACCAGCAAGTCTTCTCAGCATTATGGCGAACCTCAAAGCATTTAGTATATGTCAGCCCCTTTGAAATGGAAGCATTCTGGGGGCAGAGGCCAGGACTGACTCACAGATTACCTTAGTAGGTAATAAGGACTCAGTTACATGGTGTAGGCTAGAAATACAGTTACAACAGGCATGGCAAAGAAAAGGGAGGAAGTTTCAAGGATAAAGATGAAATGAGGATACTATAAAGTGGTGAGAAGGAGGAACATGGTTGGCAAAAGGCAACGCTGAATGGAAGCAGGAGTGCACGGTCTGGGTTTGTGGGTGGCAGGGACCCCAGCCTTGCAAGAGCAGAGGGGCTGTGAGCCGGGCCAGCGGGATGTGAGGCCATGTGGCTTGAAGGAGCTTGAAGAATTCAGCAGGGGTTAGCTAGTAAGAGAATATTTAAAGATTTATTTGTTCATTCATTTATTCGGGTTATATTTATTGGAAAGAGCTTTACCTATCTTAATATATTGTTTTGTATTTTTTTGACTCTTTGCAACTTTGAACTAGTCCTGGAATAGGATTGGTTCAGTGAACCGGGGTCCCCTGAAGATCAGTGTGTTTTATTCAACTTGAACCATTGCCCAACGATTCCTTCTGATTAGTGTGAGAGTTTTTTGTTTTTTTAAGATTTTATTTATTTATTTGTCAGAGAGAGAGAGAGCACAAGCAGGAAGAGTGGCAGGCAGAGGCAGAGAGAGAAGCAGGTTCCCTGCTGGAAAAGGAGCCTCAGTGGGACTTGATCCCTGGACTCTGGGATCATGACCTGAGCTGAAGGCAGCATCTTAACCAACCAAGCCACCCAGACATCCCTAGTGTGAGAGTTTTAAAGCAAGAGCATGAGGGGCGCCTGGGTGGCTCAGTGGGTTGGGGCCTCTGCCTTCGGCTCAGGTCATGATCCTGGGGTTCTGGGATCGAGCCCTGCGTCAGGCTCTCTGCTGGGCGGGGAGCCTGCTTCCTCCTCTCTCTCTCTCTGCCTGCCTCTCTGCCTACTTGTGATCTGTCTTTCAAATAAATAAATAAAAAAAATCTTAAAATAAAAAAAAAAATAAAGCAAGAGCATGATACTTAGAATTTAAGAAACTTTGTTTCAGTGATGAAATAGAAAGAAATGATCTTATGAAAACCAACCGGAGCCTCATTATATGAACCCAAGTCCTAAGGTGTGAGGACTTGCGTGAGGGTGTTAGTGGTAGCAATGGAAAGAAAGGGCTACGAGAGGCATATACAGATAGAGGAGTCTGGATTGCTGAGTGTGTGTTGTCAGAGATAAAGAAGGGGGATAAGGTGAATAAAAGACAGCCCTCCCTCCCCCCACCTAGAACTATTTGTTTCTTTTATAGTTAAAGTGTACCTACAACATGATGATTTGAAACATCTATTGTAAATGGTGACCACAGTAAGGTTCCTTAGTATCAGTTGCCTCACATCATTACCTTTTTTGGTATGGTAAGAACATGTAGGTTCTACTCTCTTGGCAACTTGCGTGAATATAATATGGTTTGATTGAGTGTAGTCACTGTGCTGCACAGTAGATCTCTAGAACCTGTTCATCTCATAACGGGAAGTTTGTGCCCTTGGCTCAGCATCTCCCATTTCCCTCAGCCCTTTGCATCCACCATTTTACTGTTTCTCTGAGTCGCAGATTCCACATGTAAGTGAGATCAGTAGTATGATGGGATTTTGTACATAGTGTTACTTCTTTTTTGGATTGGTTGTCCCTCTTCTTAGAATTCCTTTTCATGTTTTATGCCCTTAAAAGCCTTACTTCCTCAGGGACACCTCCCTTGCCTATCTGATCGATTTTCCTAGCCACAACCCTCTATAGTACTAATCACAGCTGTGCTTTCACTTCTTTCTGTATGATTATTTGGTAAATTGTTTTCTTTATTAAAATATAAGCTTTCCGGGGCGCCTGGGTGGCTCAGTGGGTTAAGCCTCTGCCTTCGGCTCAGGTCATGGTCTCAGGGTCCTGGGATCGAGCCCCACATCGGGCTCTGCTCAGCGGGGAGCCTGCTTTCCCTTCTCTCTCTGCCTCCTTGTGATCTCTGTCTGTCAAATAAATAAAATTTAAAAATTAAAAAAATATATATATAAGCTTTCCTTACTTTTTTTTTTTTTTTTTTTGCTCGATAGGATATTGTTTTTTGAACTATTCTAAATCTGGACTTACAGAATAAATAGATTCTTATTTTACTTTTCCTGTTATATCCTACTATCCCATTTCCCCCCCTTTTCTTAACAACTTCTATAATTAAAAACTAATTTAAAATGTTAATATAAAATGTAAAGCAATTAGTTTTTCAAGTTAGGTTATATTCTGAATATGTGTTACTTGAAATCCAAGATCCAAATAAGGAAAAAAGTAGTGCTTGGGTTTCAGAAGCATGGAATAGAAATAAAAATTAGAGGGAAAGTATTAAACTTAACTACTTAGAATTTTCTGTGATGATAATTTGTTTGCTAGGGTGGCAGGTGGCTTTTGGAAAGTTTTTAAAATTTACTGAATGGATGAGAATGGTGGTTCTGTAGACCTACCACAGGAAGGCTGTCTCCCTTTATTTGTCTGTAAGGAGTGTGCCCTTCTGGGATACTAGATGTACTTCTGGTTTGGGACATGTTGAATCTGAGTGGTAGACTTCTCCTCTGGGCAGTTGTGGATATGAACTTACGGCCAAGGAAATAGGACAGAGTTCGTTTCTAATGTGGGAAATACTAGCAAAGAAGTGCAGAATATGTAGAAATGGGTAAACTTCGCATTGAAAGGAACATAAAGGGAAAAGAACTGAAAGCCAGCCAAGGAATGAAGCCCGTGGGGCCTCTGTATTAAGGGGATGAGAAGAAGACAAAAAAACCTATGAGGGAAAAACAGGAAATGGTTAAGAAGGATGATATTATAGGGTCACAGACGCCAAGTAAAAAGAAAGCTAAGGGGATGATAGATAGGAGCGTCCAATGAAACAAAGAATAGATTTTTGTTTTTCTCCAGGAAAGGGCTGTGTAAATGTTTGCAGAGATCAGCTTGCATCTGTGAACTGTCTTTACCTTGTGGCAGCACGTTGAGGATGAGTGCTTCCACTGGGCATAAACTATTTCTCATTAATCACCCTTCATGATGCTGTAGTTTTCAAGTGGTTCAGCCTACCTAGCTTCAAATCATTTGGTGTTTAGTGTCAGCAAAACATACTGACATTTGATGTTGATAAACTGTGACCCTTCCTAACCTCTCTTACAGGAGTATAACCAGTTCTGTGTAATTGAAGAAGCAACCAAAGCAAGTGAAGTTTTAGAAAATTTGACTCAGGGAAAGATGTGTCTAGTTCCTGGTAAAACAAGGAAATTTTTATTTAAATTTGTTGCAAAAACTGAAGACGTGGGGAAGAAAATTGAGGTTAGTTATGAAATTTGTTTAACACATACTTTAAGTGACAAAAGTAGTATGAGTATGTCAGAAAAAACTTCAAATAGTATACAGATTTATTAAGTGAAAAATGAACCTATTCCCCTTGGACTTCTCAAGGGCAGTCATTCATGGTTTGGTGGGTTTTCTTTTATTGAGACTCTACTATATACACTATTCCATTGTTGGCTTTTTTCACTTACCCTGTGTATATTAGGCATCATTTCCTCTTAGTACATAAGACCAACCTCATTTTTAATGGCTACATAATCAGTTAAAGACTTTAAAACTATATATATATACATATATATGTATATATATATATATATAATTACATATATGAAATACTGTAGCAATTATATTTTGTATTCTGTGACATAATTCAGGCTGGAGATCTATATCATTTTGATGTTTAAACATTTCTGATTATATTTTTCTCTTTATTTTAAAGGATTTGTTTAATGCACATGATTAAAATGCCTTTTAGAAATACATGATGAAAGTATTATTTTTATTGAGCATAAACTCCGGAACCAAACTCTATGGGTTTAAATTCCACCTCTCCAGCTTACTGGCGTGTGGCCCCGGGCAGCTACTTGATGTCTCTTTATCTCAGTTTACTCATCTCTGGAGTGGGGATAATAATGATACCTACCTGTTAGTGTTTCCCGAGGACTAAATCAGTTAATGTAAATTGCTTGGAATAATGACTAGTACGTAGTGAGCTCTCATTAAGTGCTTGTTTTCCGTGGCTTGAAAACCACGGTGATGGTTGGCTAATCTAAACTTAGGACCGTTTATAACATAGAAACACAAGACCATAGTACCAGTGTTCCCAGAACACTTTCTGTGAACCTGTCGATTTTATTGTTAATCAAAATCCAGGGTTTTTTGCTAATTCGCTACAAAAAAAAAAATTCTTTATGATTTTGACTAAATCCCTAATTCCATATTTTATTTTTTATAAGGTACCTAAGGAAGCCTACCAGATGGTAATCATAATTAATAACACTACTTTGAGAACATTTTGTTAGTGGATTTAGTTGAAAGGAACATTTATTCAGTTAAGAATAGTATAGCTGTTTGGGGGGAAAATATGTTTCATTAGAATTTAGGAATTAGGTTCTGAGTATGTTCAGGGCCATCAAAACATTCATGTATTTCACTCAGAAACCACTAACTGAGCATCTGTGAAGTCAGGTGATTATCTCCATGTGAAGGCGAACGTAGTCAGTGTCACAGCTCCTACGTGACCAGGACAGCTGTCACAGCTGGTGTTCTGACCCCATCAACCTGTGGTCTCTAGAGGAACGTGACGGACCAGCAGTCACTATGTCCTTTGTCACGAGGGGATGGTGACAAGTATGAGGTGGCATTTCTGACAGCCCTCCCATCTTCCAGATTACTTCGGTAGATCTGGTTCTGGGCCACGAGACGGGAAGATGTGTGGTTTTAAATTGGCAAGGAGGAGGAGGGGACGCTGCTTCCTCCCAAGAAGCCTTGCAGGCCTCGCGTTCTTTCAAAAGACGGCCTAAGCTCCCCGACAGTGAGCTTCACTGGGACAGCATCGTCATTCAGGCAAGCACAATGTACGTCCACCTCGCCAGGCAGATTGTGGAATGCCACAATCTTGTTTCTTCAGAATACTGTGTTTGAGTAACTTGTTTTCTTAAAAATCGGTTACTCAGCTCAGGTGTTTTTTTTTTTTCCCCACAAAGGATCATCTCCAGAGTTCCAAACATTTCCGTGCGTCTGCGACATGACCCTCCCGCCCTGACTAATGAAATGTATTGTTTGGTTGTGAATGTGGAGTCCCACGAGAAGACCCAGATCAGAGACGTGAAGCTCACCGCTGGTTTAAAACCCGGTAAGCGGGCCTCCTTAAAAATTGTCCAGTGTTCCTTCAACAGAAAATAAATGTCTGTGGTGACACCTGCAGGTAGTTTATTTCAGATGTGGTTATGAAGTAGTTATGACATGATCTGTGCAGTATGAATTGTTAGGATAATGTTTGAATTCTCCGTGTTTTAAAACACCAGTATTAACACTTTTAGGACAGGATGCCAACTTAACTCAGAAAACGCACGTGTCTCTTCATGGAACAGAACTATGTGACGAGTCCTACCCGGCTTTACTCACCGACATTCCTGTGGGAGACTTAAATCCGGGGGAACAGGTGAGCCTTGGTCAACTATGAAGGAAAAAGAGATCAACTAGATTGCAGTTTTAAATACGTAGGGAGTCTTAGATAGTTCTAGAACATTTTAACAGCGTATCCTGAGACTAAAAATGGGATTTAACAAATGCACATTTTATACACACTTTACATATTTAAATGTGTAAAGTGTTGTAAGCAGTTTTCATACAAGTGATTTTATTTTAATTTTTTATTTTTTATAAGTGATTTTAGAACAAATGACCCTAAAATATGGAGGACTAGTTGCCCTGATAAAATAACTAAATAACATTAAACGTGTTAACTTAGTGAAATAACTTCTCAGGCAGCTTTTGTTTCCAAAGTAAACACAACAATTGTTGAGAAGTTGAGAATGATGATAGGAGAAGGTAGAATAGTAATGATCCCGCTCTCACACTGAGGCAGGAACAGCCTGTAAAAAGTGTTCAAGAATTTAGTCAGCTGGTACAGTAAGCTCTTAAAAGGTGGGGGCACATTATCCTAGAATATGTGGCAGGAAGAAATTTCTGAATTAGTAAATGAAAGTACTTTTATTTTGTTACAGCTGGAAAAAATGTTATACGTTCGCTGTGGAACAGTAGGTTCAAGAATGTTTCTCGTGTATGTTTCTTACCTGATCAATACAACTATTGAAGACAAAGAAATTGTCTGCAAGTGTCACAAGGTATAAATTCTCATAACTACTTCAGGAAGTATCCCATGTGGAGCATTCCCTATTTTGTATTTTTTAGTTTACCTGTAAAAGGATAAGCAGCTTAGGTGCTTATCATCTATTACAAAAATTTTTTAAAAATAATTACAAATTAAATTAAACGTCTCTTGGGGTTTTTTTCTTTGTCATTTATTTATTATAAATGACATCCTATGGCTCAAACTTTAGAATATTGGCTTCCATGGCTTTTCGTAAGTCAAAAAAGTTGGGGATCTTTTGCAAATAAGTTTTGAGACTCTAAATCTATGTGTTTCCCTATAGAATCACACATTAGACAACCTCTGTAAGTTGGTTATATGCTGAAGATTTTGGAGGATGGGAGGTCTCCCTTCATGAAATATTTTTTCTGTTAAAAAGACTATGGAAATTGTTTCTGCCAAATGCAGAGATAGTGAAGATAAGAAAGCTGCCATGGTCATAGTCAGCCACTTGGGGGCAACTGCTGTCACCTCGGTGTGTTTTCCGTTGGTCTCTTTCCTATTTATAGCGATTTGGGGGAGCCATGTTTTTATTTAGATTTAACCGTATTCTCTGTAATTACTTGTATTTTCTTTAACTAAGGGAAAGTCACGGTACTTACTGTCTTGTTAGTCTTACCTGTGTTGTTTCGGCCTGTTCTCAGGAACCGGGCCTTCGGCCAGCAGAGGAGAAGGCCAATCAGGTTGGCCCTTTGTAGGAAGGTTACAGCACAGAGTCTGGGCCATCGGCTGTTTCGTGAGTCAGGGGAGGCAACCTCATCCTGAAAGAGTTAGTATTTCCCGAGGGGACGGAGGGAAGGCACTGAGAATATAAAAGGTTTCCCCTAGCTTGATGCCCTGGAGTGAATCCTGGATGGCGAAGTAGGAGGTGAGAGCGCCAGTCTCCGCCTGGCCTCCTGACCTGGCACTCGGGCTGGCCGTGTGCACTTCTTGCCTCCGTGCCCTCATCTCCGAAACACGAACAGTAAAGTTTTGTGCAGCTTTAGAGTCCTAAGCCTTGGATGTCATTTTTGCTTTGGCTAATGAAGCTTCTAGAAGACTTGGAATATACCTTTTTAAAATAATTATCTGCCATGTAGTAATAATCCTGGAATCAAGCTATAGTGGTGTACAGTGCTCTCTTCTCAAGACTCGGTATTATTGATGGACATTCTGCTTGTTTTTAATCCCCTTGCCCTATTTCCCTCATTCCCCCCACAGTCCTCCCCTCTGGTAACCTTCAGTATGTTCTCTATAGTTTCGAGTCTTTTGGTTTGTCTTTTTTTCTTCATTTGGTTTGTTTCTTAAAGGCCACACATGAGTGAAATCATATGGTATTTGTCTTTTTTTGACTGACTGACTTTCACTTAACATCACACTTTGTAGTTCCATCCATGTTATTGCAAATGGCAAGATTTCATTCTTTTTTATGGGTGAATAGTATTCTGCTGCGTGGGTGTAGGGGGGCATGTATGTATATCCCTCATTTTTCTTATCCATTCATCTATTGATGGACATTTGGTTTGCTTCACCAATTTGGCTATCGTAAATAATGCTGCAGTAAACATGGGGATGCATATATCCTTTTTAATTTATGTTTTCGTAATCTTTGGGTACAAAGGTTATACAATTTTTAATTTTTTGAGGAACCTCTGTACTATTTTCCACACACAAAAAAAGGCATCTGCCCATTTTTTATTGGATTGTCTGATTTTTTTGGTGTTGGGTTGTTTAAGTACTCTATATATTTTGGATACTAACCCTTTATTGGGTATGTCATTTGAAGACATTTTCCCCTATTCAGTAGGTTGTCTTTTAGGTTTTTTAGAGAAGCTGTTTATTTTTCTATCAGCCAGTGCATTTCCAAGATAAGCTTCTAAGGGACACGAATTCTGAGGGACAGAAATAGATGTTACACAAAAGAGTGATTGGTCAAATATGTCCAATTGGTCAAATATGTTTGGTTAAAAGGGCTTTAACTTTGACTTCAGGGCTTAGCACAGCATTGAATTTGAGAATGCTCAAAAGGCTGTGGTGATTATCTTTCAGAATTATTTTACTAAGAAGCACTTCTCTCATGGAATATCTGTGTCACAGGGCCTAGTGTTATTTGTAAGACACTTTTGGAAATCTAGAGGTAAATTCCTTCCCCTTCACTGGATTAAATCTCATTTTTACCTGCATGTGAATCTGCTTTGTAAGCCATGTGGAAATTTAAAGTAGGCCACATCGAAGCTGCACACTGAGTTGCTTCTTCATTTCCGCGTAGGTACACGGTGGGGGAACACTGAGGTCCTGGGCTTTAGATCATGGAACCCCTGCATGTGTTTTCAACCACTAATATCCTACTTACTACACCTTCTTAAAAAGTCAGCTTGATGGTATTAGGAGGAAATAGTTGAAGCAGTAATAATAATAAACATGGTTTAGGCATTCCACTAGTGCTGCATATGCACTGTCTCTCTTCATTGTCAGCAGCCCTTCAGGGATTGTGAAACTGAGACTCAGAGACCGTGTCTCCTCTCCAGGGTCACCTCACTCTGCTCAAAGTCCGCACGGTGAATAAATGTGTGTCCTCCAGGATTAAAACCCATATCTACCTGGCATTTTTACAGCCTCCATTTTTAATCAACATGACTATTTTTAAAGGGTTCTCACCAATGGGATGGGTGGTTTGGTTCCAAAGCCATAGTATCCCCATCGTTCAGTGAATAGCTTCAGGGAGATGTAGCACATTGCTTAAGAGTACAGGCTTCAAGGCCAAATCTGGGTCCAGTTCTACCTTTGTCACTTGCTACGTGTGACCACTTCATCTTAAAATGACAAATATAGGGGTGTCTGGGTGGCTTAGTCAATTAAGCATCTACCTTTGGCTCAAGGTCATGATCTCAGGGTCCTAGGATTGAGCCCTTTGTAGAGCTCCCTGCTCTGCAGGGAGTCTGCTTCTCTTCCTCCCTCTGCTGCTTCCCCTACCCCCACAACTTGTGTGTGTGTGTGTGTGTGTGTGTGCCCTCCTGCATGCACGTGCGCTCTCTTTTCCTCTCTCGCTTTCAAATAAATAAATAAAATCTTAAATCTTTAAAAAAATGGCAAGTATAAAGACATCTGCTTCCTTGAGTTATTACGAACATTATGTGACGCTTTATAGTGATTATAGCACTGGCATATTTTGTTACTGTTACTATCATTATTATTAGTCATCTTGTGCTGAGTCAAGGTAAAGAACTTAGACAAAAATAAGACTCAGATTCTAGGCTTGGCACTAGCTTTGTGGGCTGGGGCCAATCATTTAATCTTCCTTTAACCTCTGGTTCCTCTTCTATAAAATGGTGACTATGCCTGTCTTGCTCACTTTTATTAGATCCTGATAATGTGTTAGAAAGCACTTTGCAGGGGCGCCTGGGTGGCTCAGTGGTTTAATCCGCTGCCTTTGGCTCAGGTCATGATCTCAGGGTCCTGGGATCGAGTCCCACATCGGGCTCTCTGCTCAGCAGGGAGCCTGCTTCCCTCCCTCTCTCTGCCTGCCTCTCTGTCTACTTGTGATCTCTCTCTGTCAAATAAATAAATAAAATCTTTAAAAAAAAAAAAAAAGAAAGCACTTTGCAGTGTGAACTGTATAAAACTATAAGATAATTTATTAGAAACAGTGGTCTAGTCTCTCTACATAGGTTTTTACAAATATTGTCTGAGGGAAAGATCCTAGCTCCTTAAGATATAAATTGGGATTATTTATTGATCAGGTACAGACTGTGTTTTGTACCTTCTAATTTTAAAACTGTTTTTAACGTTAGAAAAGCCATTGAATGTGCCCTTTAAATTTTCTTGCAGGATGAAACCGTAACTATAGAAACTGTCTTTCCATTCGATGTCGCAGTTAAATTTGTGTCTACAAAGGTATGTCCCTGTGAAGCATTTTGGAAATCATTTCAGTTACAGAATTAGCAGAAAAAGTAAAATGGATTACTGTAGTTCCAGACAGACCTTTTGTCTTCATTTGTGACAGTTTGAGCACCTGGAAAGGGTCTATGCAGACATCCCCTTTCTGCTGATGACCGACCTTTTAAGTGCCTCACCTTGGGCCCTCACCATCGTATCCAGTGAGCTCCAGCTTGCTCCTTCCATGACCGCAGTGGATCAGCTAGAGTCCCAAGTGGACAAAGGTGAGAATGTGGATCGTCACACTTAATTAGAAGGCGGGTGTGTGTATGTGTGTGTGCGTGTGTGTGTGCGTGTGTGGATTACCAGCGTAAGAGTTAGCTTTTTTGCTAAGGGAGGATAATTGAGATGGATACAAAAGCAAATACATTTAGAATTAAGGTGGAATTAGTATCATTTACAATTTGCTTGAGTATACCTTATTTTATTTATTTATTTTTTAAGAGATTTTATTTATTTATTTGACAGACAGAGATCACAAGTAGGCAGAGAGGCAGGCAGAGAGAGAGGAAGGGAAGCAGGCTCCCCGCTGAGCAGAGAGCCCGATGCGGGGCTCAATCCCAGCACCCTGGGATCATGATCTGAGCTGAAGGCAGAGGCTTTAACCCACTGAGCCATCCACGTGCCCCGAGTATACCTTATTTTAAAAGATAAAGATTTTTGCTCCAATAAGGAACTTACTCTTTGAAAAATGAAAAATATACTTGAAAATAAAATATTTGTTCATATTTGGATTTTTATAGATTGTTTTTTCTCGTTTGTAATGGTTTATTTACTATTATGTATAGCTTGAAATGGTAAAAGATATTTATGAAGGAAACTTGGGGAGAATATGAAAAAGTAGACAGTGAGTTTTCTAAATCAACTAAAACAGTAGAGAGAAGAGGTTTAAACCCAAGATATCACTTGTCTGGTGCATCATACTTTGGACTTGTATGCTTCTTGAGCTGTTAGGAAAAAAACGAGTTTGAATGTTAACCCAAGTAAGATTGTGCTCAGCTATATTATAAGGGTAAATATCATATGCAAAAAAACTTTTTTTTTTATTAATAGTTGACATATTTAATAGCATGTTTTTCTCAACATTATATTTTGTGATTTACCATTTTTTTTAAATTTTATTTTTTATAAACATATATTTTTATCCCCAGGGGTACAGGTCTGTGGATCGCCAGGTTTACACATTTCACAGCACTCACCATAGCACATACCCTCCCCAATGTCCATAACCCCACCCACCCTCTTCCAACCCCCCTCCCCCCATCAACCCTCAGTTTGTTTTGTGAGATTAAGAGTCACTTATGGTTTGTCTCCCTCCCAATCCCATCTTGTTTCATTTACTCTTCTCCTACCCCCTTAACCCCCCATGTTGCATCTCCTCTCCCTCATATCAGGGAGATCATATGATAGTTGTCTTTCTCCGATTGACTTATTTCGCTAAGCATGATACCCTCTAGTTCCATCCACGTCGTCGCAAATGGCAAGATTTCATTTCTTTTGATGGCTGCGTAGTATTCCATTGTGTATATATACCACATCATCTTTATCCATTCATCTGTTGATGGACATCTAGGTTCTTTCCATAGTTTGGCTATTGTAGACATTGCTGCTATAAACATTCGGGTGCACGTGCCCCTTCGGATCACTACGTTTGTATCTTTAGGGTAAATACCCAGCAGTGCAATTGCTGGGTCATAGGGTAGTTCTATTTTCAACATTTTGAGGAACCTCCATGCTGTTTTCCAGAGTGGTTGCACCAGCTTGCATTCCCACCAACAGTGTAGGAGGGTTCCCCTTTCTCCGCATCCTCGCCAGCATCTGTCATTTCCTGACTTGTTCATTTTAGCCATTCTGACTGGTGTGAGGTGATACCTCATTGTGGTTTTGATTTGTATTTCCCCGATGCCGAGTGATATGGAGCACTTTTTCATGTGTCTGTTGGCCATCTGGATGTCTTCTTTGCAGAAATGTCTGTTCATGTCCTCTGCCCATTTCTTGATTGGATTATTTGTTCTTTGGGTGTTGAGTTTGCTAAGTTCTTTATAGATTTTGGACACTAGCCCTTTATCTGATATGTCATTTGCTAATATCTTCTCCCATTCTGTCAGTTGTCTTCTGGTTTTGTTAACTGTTTCCTTTGCTGTGCAAAAGCTTTTGATCTTGATAAAATCCCAGTAGTTCATTTTTGCCCTTGCTTCCCTTGCCTTTGGCGATGTTCCTAGGAAGATGTTGCCGCGGCTGAGGTCGAAGAGGTTGCTGCCTGTGTTCTCCTCAAGGATTTTGATGGATTCCTTTCTCACATTGAGGTCCTTCATCCATTTTGAGTCTATTTTCGTGTGTGGTGTAAGGAAATGATCCAATTTCATTTTTCTGCATGTGGCTGTCCAATTTTCCCAACACCATTTATTGAAGAGGCTGTCTTTTTTCCATTGGACATTCTTTCCTGCTTTATCGAAGATTAGTTGACCATAGAGTTGAGGGTCTATTTCTGGGCTCTCTATTCTGTTCCATTGATCTGTGTGTCTGTTTTTGTGCCAGTACCATGCTGTCTTGATGATGACAGCTTTGTAATAGAGCTTGAAGTCCGGAATTGTGATGCCACCAACTTTGGCTTTCTTTTTCAATATTCCTTTGGCTATTCGAGGTCTTTTCTGGTTCCATATAAATTTTAGGATTATTTGTTCCATTTCTTTGAAAAAAATGGATGGTACTTTTATAGGAATTATATGCAAAAAAATCTTAAAACCAAATGTGAGTCACTTATTTGCTCTCTTTATCTATCTACTCCTGGACCTCAGGGTTACTAAATCCTATGTTGATTTGCAATACAGATTAAAAGTAGATGAGTAGTTTTAGAATTCCCGTGTATTTTTGCATCAAGCCTGAAAATAAGTTTCAATATCTATCAATAAATAATCTATAGGTGTTTATCAAGTTCACCGTATGGCACCATCCTGGTTTCTCAAGACACTACAAGAGCAAGCAGTCTTCGTAGTCACTTCTGTGCGTTTTAGGGAAGTCATCATAAATGAGGATAGGTAAAATAGATAGGTGAAGTCAAACATGTTCCTAAACCTCTCTGTTTAAATGCTACAAATAGGTCCTACATTCTATGAAGTAATAATAATAATAATAACCCCATTTTTGTTTTCAGAATGCCTTCATAAGTTTTGTTTTTCTGTCTTTGGAAACCTGGTTTTTTCCTGTGGATTTGAAAGTCATTATCCCTGGTTCTACTTTGTTTCTCTGTCCTCTTCTTCCTTTTCTCATCCCTGTGCCAACTTGGAATAATGATGAGATCTAGAGTCACGCTGAAACTAGATTCAGTTCGGTCCTACTGCTTGCTCTTGTGTTACACTGGACTATTCATTGTGTTCGATCACGTCTCAGAGTTAAAGCAGATCACTCCATGAGATAGTGTGCATGAGCTAACCTATGTGAAAATCCCAGCCCAGTGCTTGTCTCCTAACAGCTCAACACAAGCTCGTTATTTGTCCATTCTTTGCTGACTCCTTTTCTTACCCCTTCAATGTTGGTCATTTCCAGGATCCCAACTTTGGCTCCCTTTAACTTTTTCTACAAGTCTTCCGCTCCGCACAGCCTTAGGCCGCCTGCATGCCACAGTCCCGCTGGAGGAACTGGTGTGCACTTGGTTCCAGCTCGGAACCACGGGGACAAGACAGAGGCCCTATGTGCGTGCACGTCCAGCCCGGCACCACGTTCTGCCTTCTTCCTGTGACTTGAATCCAGAGATGGTCACCATCTCTTCTCTGGCCTTCAGAAGTACCTACTTCACTGGTTTCCTCTGTGCCATTCTCTCCCCTCGTCTGCCTTTCGTGCTGCTGCCAGACTTCGATTTCTCAGGAAACTATTCTGAACTGGTTACTCTCACTTAAAAAACTTCACGACATTCCAGACTTTTCCCTGCGCAGCTTCCTTCCCAGCTTCTTCTGCACCAGCCTCTCTACTTCCCCTCCCTCTTTCCCGGACTTCAGCCAAGCCAAACCTTTTACCGTCAGCAGCCATCGCCTCCATCTGGTTTTGCACATGTTAGTACCTTTGCCCCAAACCCTCTCCTTTTTCTTTCAACCTGTCAAACTCTAGTGTGCTCTTCGGGACTCACGTAAGCTTTACTCTCTAGATCTCCCCAAGCAGGGCTAGGTCGCCTTCCTTCTTTACTCCCTGAGTATCTCATACATCTACTGTAACACTTACCCCGTTCTGTCGTAATTACGTGTTTATAGTTATGGTGCCTCCATTGGGCGGTCTGCCCTTGAAGAGCTGGAGCCGTGACGTCATCCTCTTTGTATTGCCAGCCTCATAGGAGTTGGTTAATAAATGTTTATTAAATTAATGAATAATGTCCACCTTGAATTTCCCATTACTAGTTTTCTATTGCTGCTGTAAGAAATTACCACCAAGTTAGTGGCTTAAAACAACACAGATTTATGACCTGAAAATTCTAGAGGTCAAAGGTCCTAAAATCAAGGTGTGGGTAGGGCTGCATGCCTTCTGGGCTTTAGGGGAAATCCTTTCCTTTGCCCTTTTCAGCTTTCAGAGGCCAGGTGGTGTCCTTGGCTCCTGGCTCCCTCCTCTGCCTTCAAAACCAGCAGCGTAGCATCTTACAATGTTTTTTTCCTGGCCTCGGCTCCATTGTCACATCTTTTTCTCAGACTCCCTCTTGCCTCCCTTTTTTCCCTCATTATCCTTGTGATTACATTGGGCCCAACTGGATTATCCAGTATGATCTTCGTATTTTCCAGTCTTGATCTTAATCATATCCATAGAGTCCTTTCTGCCAGTGAGGTCACATTCTGGGGAATTAGGATGTGGATATCTTTGGGGAAGGGGGCGGCATGGCATTACTCTTTCCACCACCTCTAGGAACACCAGAACTCATGCATTGCAAAATTTGTGTTTGACACATTAAAAATAACAACTTGTCCTAGGTCATAAAGTTGACCCTATTGTTAATTGTTAATAAAGATAGTATCATTTTGGTTAACTTCTGAGAATTAGGGAGGACTTGGTGGGGCAAGGTGGGGCAAGCGGGAGAGAAAATGAATGTCCCCAGTTCTAAAAAGCAGGTATCTTAAGAGGTTTGAATTAATGTGTGTTTTATTTACCAAGCTACAGTATCATTTCCTAGACCTTAAAAATTACATTAAAAGTAGTTAATTAAAGTAGAGACTGGCTCAGCTTTTTTCCCTTCGACTTCCAGTTTTTACCCACAACATACCACAGCCTTCTTCGTTGGAGAACCATAAAAGCGATTAGTTGAGACTTTGTTCTCATCATTTGAAAGTTTCAGTCTCAGATATGCTAACCTCGGCCCTCAATGGGCCCTGTTCCTGGCTTGCATTAAAGGAGCGCCCCTCCCATCTCGCCCCCACCACCGCACAGCCTGCAGAGGGCTGAGGGGCAGGGAGGCCTTGGTTCAGATGAGTGTTTGTCTTGTCATCAAGAGTCGGGGCTAAACTTGGCGAGAGGACAGCCTCCTTGCGTAAGAGGTAAATAACTGAATTAGGCAATAATGAGGCACCATGTAATGTGTTTCCATTTGATGGTGTCAGTAATGTGCGTTGGTCAGAGAAAGCCAGAGTAGGTAATCACCAAATGGTATCATCCTGACTCCAGACTTTCCCTTTTCATTAGTTCCCATGGGAACTTGTCACACAACTGCAGCTGCTTCTCCTGTTTGTATGATAACAGAATATTGATACATTAGGAAAAAACCCTGGACAGGGACTTTGTGACCTTGAAAAAGTCATTTATCATCTCTGAGCCTTAGTTTTTAAGTCTACAAACAATGTATAGCTGATAAAAGTATTCTTTTTTTGTTCTATCATCAGAGGTAAAACTCGCCTTTCATAGAGGATCATTGCATAAGGATTATAAGGACTATTTCTTGTAGTTGTTTTACAGACTGGAGAGAGTGCTAGTGAATGCTTTTGTCTTCGGTGCCCTTCTGTTGGAAATGTTGAAGGTGGAGTAGCAACTGGGCATTATATTATCTCCTGGAAGAGGTAAATTGTATCAGCCCTGTCTTTTTCTCCTTGTCTGTGCTAGTCTCATACTTTTATTATTTGCCATTGTCATTTAATATTTGAAAGCTTCTGTCAGTCCTGAAAGCTTCAGTCAGCACAGACTAGAAGTCATGTGCTATCACTATTTGTCAAAAACACAAAGATTCAAATGTCCATTTGTATTTGTCACAATTTGTGACCTACATACTGATGAAATTTTAGGCAAATGAATTTTTATAACAGGACCATTAAGAACATTAGGAGAAACTTCTCTTATTCTCAGTCAATAGGATTGTCTACATAGAAAACCCAGGCAAATCAACAAATTATTTGGATTATGAGACATATATATCATATATATATCTATATATATGATATATATATCTCACATGTATGTATGATATATCCACCAAGGTTTCTAGATATAACATTCAATATACAAAATCCAGTTGGCTTTCTATATCATTAATAAACCTCCAGCATTGTACTTTTAAAATAGGTATCATTTAGAGGATGACAATAATTATAAGGTAAGAAAGAATATATCAAGTGGAAAACATGTGTTATCATTATGGGGAAAATTATAAAACTTTAAAACATTAAAGGAGTTCTTAAATGGCATATACAGAGTGGTCTTGGGTAGGATTTGGATAGGTCTAATATTGTTTGTTTTATAGAATCAGTGCAGTTTCCTTCAAAATCCCAATAGCTTATTTGAGTTTATTTTTGTAGAACCTGACACTCTTGATTATAAAGTTTCTCTGGAAAAGCAAAAACTCAGAAATAAGATACTTCAGAAGGAAAATGAGGCAACAGTAGTTGCTTTTCTGAATTCGCAGTCTTACTATAACTCTATACAGTAGTCATTGCTGTGGTATTGCCTTGGATATGTGCATCAGCCAGTGGAATAGAAGAGCGAGTCTAGAAATAGATCCACACATATGGAAATTATATTTTAGGAAGCACTCCAGATCAGTGGGGAAAGGATGAACTCTTTTTACAATGGTGAACAATTGGGTGTCCGTTTGGGAAAAAAATTGGATCTCTACTATACACTGTATATAAAAATCAATTCCATGTATACTAAAGTTCGAATTTTGAAAAGCAAAATTTTATTGATTTTAGTAGAAAATAGGAGAATTGTTTTATGACTTTGAAATAGGGCAGAGTTCCTTTAAGTAAGACGTAACAGCATAAACCACTAAAATTGATGAATTTGATTTGTTACAATTAAGTTTCTTCATTTGTGAAAAGACAAAATACAGATTGGGAAAAGCTGTTTGCAACATGTAAAACTGACAAAGTATTAGAATTCATATCAAGAACTTCTACAAATCCTAGAAAAACAAGTCTCCCAATAGGAAGTTGAGCAAAATCTCAAGTATGCTGTGTAAGGGAAACAGAAGAAGCCAGTGGCTAGTAAACGTAAGGGGAGAAGCTTAACTTCACTAGGAATCTCAGATTCAGATGTGCTCTCACTGACTTGGAAAAATAAAAAGGTTTAAGAATGCATTGTTTGTCAAAAGAGATGGAGTATAAAATAGAACGATTACTTTGGAAGTCTATTCAGCAGTACCAGGAGAAACTGAAGATGTCTGTATATAGTCTGTTTGTCTATCTATAGTCTATTGCCACAGAAAAAGTCTTAAACCTGCACACAAAGATTGGGACGCCTGGGTGGCTCAGTTGGTTAAGCAGCTGCCTTCGGCTCGGGTCATGATCCCAGCGTCCTGGTATCGAGTCCCGCATCGGGCTCCTTGCTCGGCGGGGAGCCTGCTTCTCCCTCTGCCTCTGCCTGCCACTCTGTCTGCCTGTGCTTGCTCTCTCTCTCTCTCTCTCTGACAAATAAATAAACAAAATCTTTAAAGAAAAAAAAAACCTGCACACAAAGAATGCAAGAATGTTCATAGCGTCTCTGATTATCATAGTCAAAAGCTGGACACTAGATATCCATCAACAGGCAGATGGGTAAATTATGGCATAGTCTTACAGTATCAGTGAAAGAGAATTATCCAGAGGTACCCCTGGTAACTTAATCGTAAGTGAACAGAGCAACTGCGGATGTTCAGAATATGAACAGATTGCATGTGTATAATATCGGAAAACGGGTAAAAACACTATACTTCTTAGGGCCACATACATAATTTGGAAAAGTGTAAAGAAACACATAGCAGTTGATAGATACCAAATTCAGGGTAGTAGTTACCTCTGGGGCGTGCCAGCAGGAAGGGGTAGGTGGGAAGATTCAGCTATGTTCTGTTTTCTTAGGCTGGGAGGTAGACACATCATATTTCAAAGATTTTATTTATTTATTTGACAGACAGAGATCACAAGTAGCCAGAGAGGCAGGCAGAGAGAGAGGGAGGAGGAAGCAGGCTCCCCGCTGAGCAGAGAGCCCGATGCGGGGCTCGATCCCAGGACCCCGGAATCATGACCTGAGCCAAAGGCAGAGGCTTTAACCCACTGAGCCACCCAGGCGCCCCTTATATAAATTTTAAAACAGTGGATAAGATACATTAAAAATGAGAAAGGAAAAATAATAATTTATTTTTGAAAAACTAACAACTTTCTTTTCCCCACTTCTGAATATACCATGTTGAAGTTTCGTTCAATTTGTGTTTCTGGGAATTAAAATGGGGTTTTGAAGGCACTGCTTAGTTATCCCATCATGTTCCCGTAGTCCCATAAAGATGTATTTCTCATTGATGAGGGGTTAGATGGTTTTTCCTGTTGTTTCTGCTGTATCTGCACAGAGCATCAGTTCTTCCTCCTGTGGTTCCCATTCTAACTGGAATAGGGGGGAAAATCCTTGTCCGTTTCCTGATGGTACTCACTTTTTCTCAGTAATGCTGGAATGCCACTGTGTGTATGGATCATAAAATATTTCTAGTTTCTTGGTTTCTCCTATGTACTTCTAGAGTCGTCGTAAGAGCAGGCTTGCAGGCGGTCTGTGCTCCGCTGTGAGCCAGCCGCAGGGTGAGAAGGAGGTCTCTGTCACAGTGTGGGTCACAGTGCTGCCACCTACAGTGGGAGCTACCAAACACCACCTAAAATGGTGTTCCTCCTGGTGTGCTTGCTTTGCTCTCTGGCCCTGGCGTCAAACAGCGGCCATGGGTTACAGCATTTGTGAGTTGGAAACATCCAAAGCACATGCAGGATTCCAGAAGCTTCTCTTAAAACTACTTCCATTAATGAAGTTATAGAAAATGTAGAAGTAATTTGTTTCCTTTGGAACAAGTTGGTGCATGTGCATGTCTCCAGTATTTGATTTAACTTTTCACATGAGATGTGGATTTGAAAGCTGCCCCTTTCTGCCGCAGGACGTCAGCCGTGGGAAATGTCCCTGTCATCAGTACTGTCATCACTCTGCCACATGTGATCGTAGAAAACATTCCTCTCCACGTGAACGCAGGTAACGGCGTCAAATGGTACTTGAGAAGAAGAATCCAGGAATAGTATTTCTTTTAGCTTCTGGGGTTTAAAAAAATTTTTTTTATTACGAAAAATGCCGAGCATTTACGAAAGTAGATTATGTTCAGTCCTGTTTCATCTGTACCTCTACGTACGCCTCGGACTCCTGTCATTTTAAAGCAAATCCCAGCTGTTATTTGATTTATAAATATTTGTCTGCATCTTTAATATTAATGGCTGTTTTTCTAAACATAATCACAATTCTGTTGTTATCACTTTAAAAATTAGCAATAATTTCTTAATATTACCAAATTCCAGTGTCACAGATTTCCCTGGTTGACTCGGAAGCTTCTTTAGATTGTCTTAAAGCCTTGCATTGCAGCTGATGGATGTCTTGTACTTTTGAAATCTATGGGCGGGAAGACCCCCCTCTCCACCCCCCTCACCTCCTTCACCACCGCCGCCTGCCCCTCTTCCCTGCTGTTCATTTCTTAAAGAAGTGGAGCCCGTCTCCTGTAGAGCTCCCCACAGTCTGGACTTTGCTGATTGCATTGAATCATTTGTAAGGGTCCCTGCGAGCTGGTGGTGAGTCTCAGTCAGATTCAGGTTCAAGTTTTCAGCAAGAATACTTCATAGCTAGTGGTGTTTGTTCCCATCAGGAGGCACATGATGCCTATCATTCCTTCTTGAACCGTGATGGATATTTAGGGGATTGTTTTATAGACTTGAAAAATTATTCCCAAAATATAATTCACCTCCTGATAGCCATGACCCTTTCTACGTCAATCAACTTTAGAAGGTGACTTGATTCTTTTGAGCCTGTTTTATCATAGTCCCATGGGCTGTTGTCCAGTCAAAGAATTTCCTTATTTAGCAAGAGTGCAGTGTTATCACTAATTTAAATAACCCCATGTGTACAGAGTGAAATTCCTTTACAAAAAGAACTCATAAACGGTGAACTTTTTTTTTTTTAACAAAAAGAAATGTATCCTCTTTCTCTGCAGATCTGCCATCATTTGGGCGTGTCAGAGAATCCTTACCTGTCAAATATCACCTACAGAATAAGACTAACTTAGTTCAAGATGTGGAGATTTCTGTGGAGCCCAGTGATGCCTTCATGTTCTCAGGTCTTAAACAGGTACAGTCCTATCTCATTGGGCTGCTTATGTAGATACAGAAGGGTGGCCAGGAAATGGAGAGCTGTACATGTAGCTTTTACAAATGAACTGATCAGGCTGATTGTGGTCCCTGTTATTTAGATAGGAAATTTTTATTCCCTTTTAAAGATTAAGTACAACCCGTATAGAGGTGGATTAAGTGGGTAACCCTTTGCACATTGAGCTCATACATGTAAGTTGTTTTTATAAAGCAAGAATTTATAAGTCCTTAGATAACAGCATTCCTGAAAATTTTAGATTTCCCTTTTATTACTACTGAGTGTGTGTATGTGTGTATTTGCGTCTTTTAATTGGAGGCCTAGAGGCCTTACTACCCATATTAAAAGCCTGATTGTCTTGGGAGGGGGGGTTCCTGGATGGCTCAGTGGATAGAGTGTGCAACTCTAGATCTTGGGGTCATGAGTTCAAGCCCCACGTTGGGCGTGGAGCCTACTTAGGGGAAAAAAAAAAAAGCCTGTTTCTCTTTTGAAGTATCTGTGAAACTTTTTAGAGATTTTGATCTTAAACAGAATTTACTTACCTTTGGCACATTTAAACACAATTTTATATTTACATACAAAAATAAATCATTCGGGTGTTTTGATTCACTCATTCAAATCGGAGGTGGAAAAGTTCATCACATTTTTTTTTTAATCACATTTTTTAATGGAACATACACTTTCAAGCAAAACCATATTTCAGGGAGAATACTGTCTTCTGTCAAAGTGGCTAGCAGACCTCTCTCAATAGTCAGTAAGTACTTTTTATCAACCAGACCATAATTAGAGGAACAAACACGTACTGATACTCAGTAGGGTCTACCCTGACTGTCCTCTGTGCTGTGCATATTCTGAGTGCTGTGTTGTTAAATGTAAGATAGCATTATACATGAAGTATGCTGCGAGTCCATTAGCAAACTTAAGTTGATAACAAAAACACACACTAGCTTTTATATATTGGTACACACATATATTATCTTTGACACATGTACAGTACTGTATGTACTCATATGCAAATAAGTAAGCTTTTCTAGAGTGTCCTGATCTTCTTCACATATTGATTTATAAAAATATACGATACCAACCATCTTTTTCCCCCTGACATCATTTACCTCACCACAAAGTTCCCCTAAAAAAAACCACCAGAAACCACTAGTTTGTTTGTCTTATGTTGGTGTAATGTATACAAAGATACTTTTCTTGCAGTTGTCTCATAACATGTTGTGACTGTAAAAATCTTCCTGGTCTCAGACACACAAAACATGGATCCATCTCACAATCCCCCCCACCCCTTTTTTTTTTTTCACGATCCCCTTTTTAAGCTGGTACAAGTTGCCGTTTAGATCTTGGTGTCGAAACCAAGAAATCACTCACGATTTTTGTAATGCATCTGTTACCTGTGTAGTCTTCCTGTCCTCCTAATTCAGCCCTGTATTTCTGAATCTGTCTGGAAAATGGAATAGGCAAGAGAGGACATTTTCCCCAGGAAGATTTGCACGTCCGGTCACTTGTCACCAAGGAAGGGGTGATGGTGCGGAGACGCTGTAAGCGTGTGTATTTGATTGTCTTTCTCTACAACTTGTTATGCTGTAGATTCGATTACGGATCCTCCCCGGCACCGAACAGGAAATGTTATATAATTTCTACCCTCTGATGGCCGGGTACCAGCAGCTGCCGTCTCTCCACGTCAACCTGCTAAGGTTTCCTCACTTCACCAATCAGCTGCTCAGGCGTTTCATACCTACCAGTATTTTTGTAAAGGTAAGACCGAGGCGTGGTCTGCTCTTGAGGCCTCCCAGCTTGCAGGCAGATCAGGTGTCTCTTTCTCGTAAGGTTCCCCAGACGGCATTTGGAGACTGAAAGCTTTGGTTGCCATGACGTCAGTTTGGCGGTATCGCTGGTCGTGTCCGTACGGTTGCTGCTGTTTCACAGAATCGAATTCCAAAGTTTTTTATTCCCTTGGGTGGATAACGATTTACCCTCGCAGGATGCTGAGACGGGTTTTCCCTTCGGCTTAGTAAAGGATGGTTTTATCCTGTAGTTAGTTGGGAACTAGTTTTCCATCAAAATGGATCAACTTCCTAAATGTGATCTTGAACGTTCCTCCTTCTCTGTGCGATACCGCCTGGGGCCTTCTCTGCAAAGGATCCCGCGTCGGAAACTGCGCGGCTTGAATGTTCTGCTATTTCACACGGGGACCATTTCCAGGTTCCTGAGGTACAGGGATGTGTGGGATGGTGGGAGTCGGTGTGGGAGAGGGTGGCCCGGGCGGCGCAGGTGGCTCACCCAGCAGCGCGCTCACCTCCGCCGAGGCCATTCTCACCACTGGGAAGTAGGGCTCCCCTCCCGGGAGCTGCGGGTTCCTCAGTGCCTCGGGCACACGTGGGTGTAGAGACGTCCTGTGTGCAGACGACCGGTGTGCCACCTTCTCTTTTAACTCCATACTCGCTTTCGGAATGACGTGTCACAAGGCTCACACTTGCCTCTTTGGTGTCTGTCTCATTCCAGTTTGAAGGAACTGTCCCTTCTTTACATAATCTGGAATGGGGTACCTGATAAAGGTTCCAGATAAGGTTCCAGAAAAATAAACATTTGTAAGTCTTAGCATAACTGGCCCTCCTTTTTCTAACTGCCGTGCTCTTTTTTCTAAATACAAGTACTGCCTTCTAGTAACTTGACTGCTGCCGAAAAGGTAGGCTGGGATCCTCAGAGCCGGCGGAAATCTGAGGGGCAGTAGTTTCGCCTGTCATGCTGAGGACAGTGATTGAGGCTTACTGTCTTCCCTCGTAGTGAACAGTCCTACTGACTCAAGTTGTCCATCCCTTCACACCCTCACTGAACTCTAGAGCTGCGCTATTCTAGTATGATGGGCCCTACCGAGATGTAAATTAAATTTAATTAAAATTTAATTTAATTTAAAAATTAGTTAGTTGTCCTAGCCGCACTTGAAGTGCCCAGTAAATCAGTGTGACAGGTGGCTCCCATGATGGACAGCGCGGACCAGAGTTTTCCCATCATCACAGAAAGTTCTCTTGCATCGTGCTGCCCTACTTCAAGGCTGGATTAATATTTTTCTTCCTTTGAAACGAAGATTCCAAGTTTTCTAATTCATGATCTAATCTTCTGTCCCTGTTCGTAAAGCTGTGTTTCGTAAGGATATAACCAGATTGAGCCATTATTCCATTTCCTTTTTTTTTTTTTTAAGATTTCATTTTATTTATTTGAGAGAGAGCACAAGCAGAGAGAGGGGCAGAGGGAGAGGGAAAAGCAGACTCCGCACTGAGCAGCGAGCCCATGCCGGGCTGGATCCAAGGACCTTGAGATCATGACCTGAGCAGAAAGCAGCTGCTTAACCGACTGAGCCACCCAGGTGCCCCCATTATTCCGTTTCTAAAACTGAACATCCTCTATCAGTACTAAAGGTTATGTGAAACACAAAAGACCAGCCACCTCTTCTTTAATTCATTCCGTTCCTGCCTTGAATGTCAGAGGCCTAACTTACACACATATGCATGCATACACACACACATATATGTGCGCACACACATGCATGCATTAAACACACGGCAACAAAGTGCTCCCTTCCCTGCCTCAGGGAGCCCCCTGCCCTGAACCATTCTGCGTCAGGCCTTGTCAGTGGCTTTCGGTGGTGGTGGTGTAACACAGTTCTGTTTCATGTCCCGAATACCATCTCATGCTCTTCCCACAGAATTCTGCTCATGTACCTCTGCTGAGTAAGAGTGTTTGCAAGAGTTTCATTTTTTCATTTCCTTGATGACTCCCTGAGGCATCGCTAATCTGTCAGAAGGTTTACCCTCAATATGGTCACAGTACCTCTTATTCGTTCTTAGCCTTTACTCTTCTGATGTGACGTTTTAAGTTTGTCCCAGTGACCTTAGGGAAAGCTAGATTTTTGTTATCTGCTGCTTCTGTCCTTGTAGTGTTCATCATTAGATACTCTAGTTCATTGTGAATTGCTTTTCCTTAGAAACAGGAGGTTGGGAGACCTTAGATCCCCAAGGAGCTTGTCTGTCAGCCCAGGTCTGTGGCCTTCTTTGAGCTTGGGATGCAGGAGGGCCCCGAGCAAGAGAGAAACTGAAACTGTCCCTGAAGCAGGAAGGCAGCTGGGTTCCCGCTCCCACGTTCCCAATGCGAGATCAGTAGCTGTGAGGACACAGGGTGGACAGAATTAGTGACCAAGGCAGAAGGCGGTGGAGGTACGCGGTCAGCTGGCGATGTCGGTGTCTGGTGGCAGAGGGAAGGGGGACAGCACCTCGGCCCTGCAGCTTGCCCTCCCCAGGTTCAAGTGAAGCGAGAAGGTGGGATGAAAGAAGGAGAGAAACAAATGTGGTTTTGATACTCGTGCACATTTATTCCGTTTTTGTGAAACAGTTCCAAGAATTTGGAAATCTTCTCAATTACTAGAGCCTTTGTTGTTACTGCCTTGTAAACCCATCTCGTTTCCCCTCTTTAAAGCCACAGGGTCGGCTCGTGGATGATTCCTCCATTGCCGCCGCATGAAGTTCAAGTCTGGCCCTCGGCTGTTCTTACGGAGAAGGTGGACGGAGCTATAGAAGTTTTTCATTGTTAACTGTAGCTTTGATCATGGTAAAAGTTAATCTTTTCTATTTTTTAATGGATGTTATACCAACTCTTCAGAGGAACTCATGCTTAAAATATTAGGAAAATCTATCTTCTCTTATAGTTTCACTAATAAATATTTGAAATCTCTCAGTGTGACACGGAAGGATATCAGACCATTGTTATTGCTGGAAGTCGTTCTATGAATAGTAGGTTCTTGAAGAAAGTGATTGTCATGTGCAATATCAGAGAAACGGGAGCCCCCCAGATGGGACTCGCCGCGGAGAGGAAAGTGCACACCTAGTCTGCTCCCCCCGCCCCACCCAGGGATGCTTCGAAGCCCCCTGCGGCGCTTTCAGAGTTGGCTGAACCCAAGATCAGCCCATCCTTGTACACTGAATTGAATTCTCAGAATCCATACATCCCACCTCTAAGTGGTTATGTGACTAATCCAGAAAACTTCCAGAAAGTTTTTAATCAAAGCAATGTAAAGTGTCTTTAAAAAACCCAAAAACAAAAACAAACAAAAAACTCTGCTTAGTGTCAAAACTTGTGAAAGAGGTTCAGCTCGCAGCCAAAACATGGATCATTTATGAAGCAGGTTTGTGTTCGTAAGTGTGTTAACAGGTTTTCGTCTCTAAGAATCCAAGCTACAAGGAGGTGACTGTAAGCTTCATTCCTTAAACTGAAAGTTTTGGGAAAAGATGCAAGTTCGAAATGAGAGCTTTCAGTGATATTGTGCTATTTCAAAAGGAACTATTTAAAACTGTTGGAAATTCATGTAAATAAAAATCATATTATGATCATTTTCTTCCGTTAAAATATCTTAATTTAAAGGTTACTGGATTTCCTGGAAAATTTTATTATTTAAATGTGTAGGAGTTGTAAAAGGAAATAGTGGTGTAAATAAATATGTTCTCTTTCAAGGGCGCTTGTATGTGTCTTTCATTTATCTTGAGCTTGTTTGATTTCAGCTTCACGAGGCAGCTTTCACTAAGAATACTGTTGCATGAGGTCTAGGGAGAGCTTGGGATTCGGAATTGAGAGATCTGTGTTCTAGGACTGGCTCTGCTAACCTTCAGGGAGACTCGGACAGTGGGATGGGCTGTCTCAGGAGGACGTGAGTTCCCTTCTTTCTCGGCCTTTTGGGCAGAGGCTGCAGGAGCTTGTCTTCAAAGTCATATTGTCCAGGGTCAGATCCCAGCTCTGCCACTTACTCGTGATGTGCGGAGCACTGTGTGTCTCTGTGTTCTTGCCTATAAAGATGTAGGTGATGGTAACACCCATCTCCTAGCCTTAGGAGGATGGTAATAGTACATAAGAAGAGCTTGGCAACAGTGGCTGACCCACAGGAGTACTCAACCAGTGACATCTGTATTATTAGTAGTATTTTTTTTAAATGGGAAGGCTGAAAAGGGTGTGCCTACATCTACTTGAGGGTCTGTGTTATCAGAATGTGTCAGTGTTTATGTAGTTGAGTACATACATGAGCACATACATGTGGACGTATGTGTGTAAATGTCTAAAACAAAAAATATTAGGAAGAACTCATATTTTATATACACGTATATTTTATATCCTCTTCTGTTTCATTACAAAATATCCTGGTGTAACCTACCAATTGGACTTCATGACCCACTAACGGGATATAATCTGCAGCTTGAAAAATTCACAGGTTCTTTGAATGTGAAGACAGTCTGACGTGGGGCTTATGTAATAAAGGTCTCACATGTTCACATGGCCATCGTCAGACATGGAGTATGTGTTAGAACAAATGAATCACCGGCATACACCTTAAAATTGTGAGCATTGGCATCCGGGTGGTCTGTGCAGCTCTCTGCTACTGCAAATATACCAGATAAACAGCTCCGTGCTTTCCTTCCATCATCCTCACAGTTGGCAAGAGGGTGACCCTTTCTCAGCTGGGACTTCTCCCATATCATGAATTCTTCTGCGAATATATTCTGTTTTCTTGTTTTTTAATTGAAAATTTTAATTCGAAAATACGTGAGATCATCCTTTTCCCTGGGTCCAAAAAGTCAAAACTGTCATGTATTGCCAGAGCTGTTGATGAACTCAGGTTACCGGTTGGGAGGGGTAGTGGGGGGGGCAACTCATGGCCTTTCCCTTCCTGCCTCTGGGCTGTCAGATGCCATCATCATCCACGTGAAAGTCTCACCTCCCGTTTTTTACTGTGTGCCGTCTGGTTCTCAATATGGCTCTCTACCAGTCTTACATACCACTGAGGGATACATTTTTTTTTTTTTTTAGGATTTTTATTTATTTATTTATTTGACAGACAGAGATCACAAGTAGGTAGAGAGGCAGGCGGAGAGAGAAGAGGAAGCAGCTCCCCGCCAAGCAGAGAGCCCGATGTGGGGCTCGATCCCAGGACCCCGGGACCATGACCTGAGCTGAAGGCAGAGGCTTTAACCCACTGAGCCACCCAGGCACCCCGAGGGATACATTTTTAAATATAGCATTATAAATTTTGGGAGGGATACACTGAAGTTTGACCTCCTGTATCATAAGGCAAGCACTTGACAATCAGAGATGAGCTCTTCAAATGTCAAATTGTGCAAGGAAGATGGTGATAATGTCTGGGGAGATAAAGCTTAATTTGTCTAAGTTTGTATTTTATGGTCCTAAAGTTAAATCTGCAATTTCAACTCCGTTTTCCTCATTAAAGTCTTAGGTTCCTTACCCTTGAATTCTTAAAAAGTGTTATGGAGCGTGACTCCTAGAGCAGATTTTTAAAAAAATGTTTTCCATGTTACTTGAAGGAGGGATTCTTCTGTTTTAATTCAGTCCTTTCATGGTCCATATTGTATCTCCACCCAGAATATAAAATGTCTTCCATTCGATACTGTCCCTGATAATAGCTGTTAAGAATTCTGAGTTGTGGGGCGCTTGGGTGGCTCAGTGGGTTAAAGCTTCTGCCTTCGACTCAGGTCATGATCTCAGGGTCCTGGGATCGAGCCCCACATCGGGCTCTCTGCTCAGCAGGGAGCCTGCTTCCTCCTCTCTCTCTCTCTGCCTGCCTCTCCGCCTACTTGTGATCTCTGTCTGTCAAATAAATAAATAAAATCTTAAAAAAAAAAAAATAATTCTTAGTTGTGATTCCCATGTTGGGACTGTAATGAGTGAGGGACTGCTTTTCAGTTGAAAAGTTAGGCTCCCCCTCCTAATGTGGAGGGCTCATGACCCAGCAACATGTTCCAGAAAATACTTAGAGATGAGTTGTATTACTTAATGGTACAGTAAGTAAATAGCAATGACTATAATTTTCAAGAA